CAATCTTGGAACTGTTTGAAATTATGGATTCTACAGGTCACATTCTATAAGAAATTTTTTTCCGGGTCGACCTGGACAATTTTTTTTGAGGGCCTCAAAAAATGGCAGTGTATGACCTTCCTTTTTTACAAAAAATCGACTGCACCAAAATTTCTCGGGAAAACACTTTTTCTTATTAAATTTGGTGCGTAGAATCCAAAACAATTCGTACTTTTTCGATCAGACTTCTCAATCAAAAGTTATAGACTAGAAACCAATTTCGAAAAAAATTATCAAAGTCCTCGTTTGAGATCGAAGGGACTTCAGCGCATTTTTGTGTGGCAGATCAGTATTCTATTAGCCACTTTCGACTCAACCATCAATAACAGATCTTGTCAAAGGCTACTACATTCACTAACCGCTTCCCACTTTCCGCGTGCACCCGCAATTCGCTTTTAAAGTTTTGACTCCACCATCAGTAAGATCGTGTCGGGGGCTACCACATTCCCTTTGACGGTACCCCCTTCCGACGTCCCGTTCACCCCCAATTCGCGTTTGAAGATTTGACTCCACCATCAGTAAGATCGTGTCGCGGGCTACCACATTCCCTTTGACGGTACCCATCTTCCGACGTCCCGTTCACTCGCAATTCACTTCTATTGGCGGCACGAGAAAGAGAGACAGCGATTCGAGATTTACGAAACGTTAAACCGCGTGAGTTCGTAACGGAAGATAAAAGGCGCCCGAAGTTGACTACTTCTCGAAGACGCGCGCGCGCGCCTCGCAAAAGGTCGTTAATTTCGCCCCTATGACAAAAAACAAAATTCCGACGACACCAATTTGAAAAGAATCGGACCAAAACTGTAATAGAAGATAGGAAAAAACTGAAAAACCTTCACGTTAGTATACTACGCTCGAGGATGACGCCCAGATGTCGCCAACCCCACATCATGTAGCCATGTCCCTAAGGTTGACAAATTTCACGGCCCCGTAGATACACGTACACCCGTTGCCTTTCTACAAGAGTTCTTCTACGCGCCCACATTTGCTGCCAGCCAGCCAACCAGCCAGCCAAAGTGAGATTAAAAGCTACTTTTTACAAATAAATTTGCAAAAATGCGCTAAAAAATTCAAAGGGCTGTAACTTTTGAACTAGTAGCCCAATCTTGGAACTGTTTGAAATTATGGATTCTACAGCTTACATTATGAGCATGCCGGTTCAAGGTGCTGTTTCCTCCCACAATTCAAACACTAGTGCGCGCACGTGTTGAATGATTTATAATAGTAATGGAAATCAAAATTAAGGTTAATTAGATCTGATTCAAGAGTGGAATGAACTTGTCCACATTAAATTGATCAAAGGACGGTCAAGCCACCCTCCCCTTGTCTAAGAAGAAATTTGCCCCACCTCCCTTCCGCCATGTAAAATGCGCCCCTAACATTAACAAACAATTCCTATGTGGTCTATTGTCTCGAAACGGGCGACGGTACAAAAAAATTATCAGCTGTCGTAAATCCGAGATTATTTACACTAGGATTAAGTACGTAATTAGTATTTTTCCCAGAGAAATTGGGAAACTCGCCGCTATCTTAATTATAGGCATTCGAAATTCTAATAATAGCCCAGACTAATTTTTTCGAGTTCGCACGCGCACGTGGGATTGAAAAACATGGGCTGCTGTGTAGATTAAAGTGTGTCACGGTGCGTAACGACTACGTCACGTGACGTATAGCGGACGAGCCCCTTTTTATTAATAATTTCTTTTACAGTCGAGATTAGCGAAAGCGGGGGACCTTTGTACGGATTGCACAAACCACAATCAGAACATAAAATCCACCTTGTTCTGGTTCTGTGCTGATCTAATTAAGGGAAACGCAAGCGAGACATCGCCGAGTTCACTCACCCTGCACCAAACGCGTCGCACCCCAATCTTCTCTTTTTCCAAACAAAGCAAACTAAATTACAATAGTTCCAATGCGGGTCGGTTATTAACCGTTCGAATGCCCCGTCGAACAATAAACTCATTTATCACCCGATTGAAAAACGTGGACTATGCCCCCCATACTCACTTCCTCCCCGTCTCAAAACGTGCCTGACTACACAATTAATTAAAATAGACTGTGGACAATTACCTTACGCTGTATTCAACAATAAATTAATCCAGACGTTAGCAGAGTTCGCCTTTCATAATTTCTGCACGTGTGCAACAAACTATCGCCTAGGTACCGATCACTTCCCACCGACTACGCCGATTTGGTATCTACTACTGAAAGTATTTTCGTAACGCGCGCACGGTCGACCGGTACATACCCCCCCTCGACCGTTTTAAAAATTATCACACTCATTAATATTCATCATTCCAGTGACATCGCTTTATTACTTCATCGCCATTGCTAATTTCGTCCCCTAAAAAACTTGTGAGGGGGGGGGGGGGGGAAAGTTAGACAGATTCACCCGTCCCCCCCCCCCCCCAACATCACACTACAGAGTGTAGTGACATATTCCAAATGATCTTGCACCAAAATTTGGTGTTAACGAGTTAATCAAATCTTTGAGTTGACATTATAACTTCACACTCCCAGTGTCAACAGTCAAAAATTTGTGTGTGTTTGTGTTGATTTTCCGATAATTATTGCTATTAATCGCGTTAATAAGTAATTTAAATATTTCGGATGACATAGTAGAACTTCACACTTACTTACTAACTATTGCCGTTTTCAAAATATAAGTATACGGGATCAGGTGAAAAAGTTATCGGACCTAACCTCGTTTTTGAAAATGGCATATCAAATGGTCCTTTCCCAAAAATTACACTAAAAATTCAAAAATTTAAATTTAAAGCACCTGAACCTTTTTTTTGTACCTTTTTTGAATTTTTTTAAATATTATGCACATTATTGAAAACAGAATTTAATGTTATCTTTTTACATTGAAAGACATAGGGTGCTCTATTTGAAAAATGAGGTTGGGTCTGATAACTTTTTTACCAGACCTCGTATACTTATTTCGAAAATGGCAGGTTAAAGAAATTTTTGTAATAAACATTTTTCGGTATTTCTTGCAACTAAGAGAATACGAAAACAACGTTAGTCCCATTCCCATTAAAGTACCGTGAGGGCGCTGACGGTTGTAAAGGAAATGTGTCTCCTGAGTATTCCTTTGATGGGCACTATCATTATCTTCCACAAAAAGGTTTAGATTCAGAGCCCCATTCTGATTTGCGGAAAAACCCCGCCCACTCAAAATAAAGGCAAAATAAATAAATAAATGTAGAACCGGGGGGTCTGGGAGGTATGGAATGCCCCCCCCCCGCTCCCCCCAGTATACGTTTTTCATTGCTGGGCGATATAGAATTTTACTTTTCGTTAACATTATCTTCAACAAGACTAGTCTGGAAAAATGTCATGAATTTTTCTCCCAAGAAATACTGCGAAGAATGTGTTACCGGGGGGTCTGGGGGGTATGTATACGTTAGTTCCATTTCCGTCTCATTAAAGCACAATGAAGGCACTGATGGTTATAAAGGGACTGCGTTCCGTGAGTTTTTCTTTGCTGGGCGGTATAGAATTTTATTTTTCGTTTTGCTGGGGGGTATTCCAGACCCCCCGGTAACATTATCTTCAACAATACTAGTCTGGGAAACTGTCATGTATTTTTCTTCAAAGAAATACTGCGAAGAATGTGTTACCGGGGGGTCTGAGGGGTATGGAATACCCCCCAGTATACGCTAGTTCCATTTCCGTCTCATTAAAGCACTATGAGGGCATTGATGGTAATAAGGGAAATGTGTTTTGTGAGTTTTTCTTTGCTGGGCGGTATAGAATTTTACTTTTCGTTTTGCTGGGGGGTATTCCAGACCCCCCGGTAACATTATCTTCAACAATACTAGTCTGGGAAACTGTCATGTATTTTTCTTCAAAGAAATACTGCGAAGAATGTGTTACCGGGGGGTCTGAGGGGTATGGAATACCCCCCAGTATACGCTAGTTCCATTTCCGTCTCATTAAAGCACTATGAGGGCATTGATGGTAATAAGGGAAATGTGTTTTGTGAGTTTTTCTTTGCTGGGCGGTATAGAATTTTATTTTTCGTTTTGCTGGGTGGTATTCCAACCCCCCGGTAACATTATCTTCAACAAGACTAGTCTGGAAAATTGTCATGATTTTTCTCCAAAGAAATACTGCGAAGAATGTGTTTCTGGGGGGTATGGAATACCCCCCAGGATACGCTAGTTCCATTCCCGTCTCATTAAAGCACTATGAGGGCACTGATGGTTATAAGGGAAATGTGTTCTGTGAGTCTTCTTTGCTGGGCGGTATAGAATTTTACTTTTCGTTTTGCTGGGGGGTATTCCAGCCCCCCCCCCTCCCCCGGTAACATTATCTTCAACAACACTAGCCTGGAAAACTGTAATGATTTTTCTTCAAGGAAATAGTGCGAAGAATGTGTTATCGGGGGGGTCTGGGGGTGTGGAATACCCCCCCCCCCAGGTATACGCTAGGTCCATTTCCGTCTCATTAAAGCACTATGAGGGCACTCTTGGTTATAAGGGAAATGTGTTCTGTGAGTTAATCTTTGTTGGGCGGTAGAGAATTTTACTTTTGGTTTTGTTGGGGGTATTCCATACCCCCCAGATCCCCCCCCCCCCCCCCCGTACACGTTAGTTCCATTCATATTTCTCCGTTATCCAAAAAATAATATGAGCGTCACGTGCTATTTTTAGGTTAATCTTAAAATGGTAAAATAAAATGTTGCAGACATTTGCACGCTTAAGAAATACGGGGAAAGATCAAAAAATCAAATATTCGAGATACAGAAAAATGTTTATTAGAAAAGTCTCTTTACAATCATCGATGAATAACCTGTGGTTTTTAGAACAAGCATACGGGGTCAGATAAAAAACAGAACTGGATGATATTAAAAAAAGATTTAAAAAAAGTTCAGATGATTAAAGAAACACAATTTCAAAAAGACTTTTGAATGTTTTTAATTATTTCAATTTTTGTAGTTTAATTTTTTTTTGAAAAGAGGATAATATGCTATCTTGTTAGATTTAATAAACAGGGTGTTCGAATTTGAAAAATGAGCTTAGGTCCGATAACTTTTTTACCTGTCCCCGTATACGGCAGATTATTCAACAAACATTTTTGTATAAGAAACATCAAGTATAATTAGTGTCTATATCCTACAGTTTTTATCTAAAATTCGCCCCTAAGCCGTGATTTATATTTCTAATAGAAATTTTTGACGGTGTAATACGTGCAATTGCTAATATCGAAGGCTAGATCGCACAGGTTGGCATTTTTAAACCGACAGTTTGAAATTATAGCGTTTTGAATTTCCAAACTATCAGTTCCCGAAGTTTCCCTCATCGTCTCTTCACTAATCCGGCCATGTTCGTCAAATATTCCCAATCTCAAATACAGGCATCGCAGACAACATTTCAAGTTACCGTCGATCGCGTCGTAAACACCATGGTTCAATAAATTCTCCAATTTATTCGGTATTGTGTCCGTTTCCTTGAGGCAGTTGAGTCGGTGTTCTTTAATTGTATCTTTGTATTCGGAAATAACCTCAACAAAGTTGTTGTCCTACGGAAACAAAGCGGTTTTCTTTGTGGAAAATATCAGAAATGTAGGTACTTACCTGGGCATGGCAGTTTGCCAAAAGTAAAATAAGGCACAACACGATTATTCTCATCATCAGAACATTAATGAACAATGTCGGCCCAAGATAACCTTTATAGGTACCAAGATACTGCGATAATAAACAATAATATGTGTATTTGCCCAACAGAAGGGCATAAACTTTACATTTTCAGAAAAAAAATAACATTTTATGAGTTGCGAGAGCACACAATAATAGAAAATATAGTAACATTTAGACAATAATAAGTAAATAAACTACAAAAAAACAATATTTAATAATAAAACATTGTTGTACTAAATGAGTGGAAAATTATAACACAAACAGTTTAATTAATTATGTTGGATGACAGGACAAACGATGGGGATACAATGAACTTAAAACTCAAATTAATGATAACAGCTGAACGTAACCTTTCTGATAGGACCATGACCATTTTTGTGAAATCTCGTTTTTTCCCTGTTCCCGTTCCCGTGGGAATTTTGGAAAGCGTTTTAATAACCCAGAAAGTTCGTGGGTATACTTCCAACCATTCCCCAAAATTTCTTCGTAATCGGACGAACGGTTTAGGCAGACATAACAGACAGACAGACAGACAAACATTCATTTTTATTTATGTAGATAATAGAGACGACGAACGTACATATGGTACATTGACATCGCCTAACATGGTATTGCATACTCCCCAGAACCCCCGGTATCATAGTCTTCAGCAAAACTAGTCTGGAGGACTAACGTGATTTTTCTCCAAAAAAATAGTGCGAAGAATGTGACACCGGGGGTCTGGGGGGGTATGGAATACCCCCCAGTACACGTTAGTTCCGTTCCCATTCCCATTAAAGCATCATGAGAGCATTGAAGGTTATAAAGGAAAAGTGTTCTTCGAGTTTTTCTTTTCCGGACGTTTTCGGATTTCGCTTTTCTTTTTGCTGGGGGGTTTTCCAGACCCCCCCGGTAACATAATCTTCAGCAAAACTAGTCTGGGGGACTATCATGATTTTTCTCCAAAGGAATAGTGCAATGAATTTGTCACCGGGGGGTCTGGGGGGTATGGAATACCCCCCAGTATACGTTAGTTCCGTTCCCATTTCCATTAAAGCACCATAAGAGCATTGATGGTTATAAAGGAAATGTGTTCTCCGAGTTTTTGCTGGGCGTTTTCGGATTTCGCTTTTCTTTTTGCTGGGGGGTTTTTCAGACTCCCCCGGTAACATAATCTTCAGCAAAACTAGTGTGGAGGACTATCATGATTTTTCTCTAAAGAAATAGTGCGAAGAATTTGTCACCGGGGGGTCTGGGGGGTATGGAATACCCCCCAGTATGCGTTACTTCCGTTCCCATTTCCATTAAAGCACCATGAGAGCATTGATGGTTATAAAGGAAATATGTTCTCCGAGTTTCTCTTTGCTGGGCGTTTTCGGATTTCGCTTTTCTTTTTGTTGGGGGGGTATTCCATCCCCCCCAGACCCTCCGGTAACATAATCTTCAGCAAAACTAGTCTGGAATACTATCATGATTTTTCTCCAAAGAAATAGTGCGAAGAATGTGTCTCTGGTGGGGGGGGGGGGTTATGTGGTAAGCGCGTCAGACGCACTACCAAAGATATTCCAGATGTGATCAAATCTGAAGCTGAACAATGTGAAATATTCCAATGCGCCTACCGCAGCGAATATTTCAGAGCTACATCGAGGCGCCATCAGGTCGCCGTCAAGTAAAATATGAAATATGACCTGTTTATTCAAGAACCTTTTTTTTGCTGTTTTATTTGCGGATTGAATTGTGTCGGTCTCAAGATCGATGCAGAAGTGAAATAAAGAGGAGGCAATTTTTAAAAACGTCTGTATTTGTCTTTTTTTAAAAACATATTTTCTTGAACAATTAATTGGTGTCGGTTTCGCAACCAAGAGAATATGCGTATCGAATCAAGACAGCTAATTAAAGCCATTTAAACTGCAATTCATCATTGAAATGAATAGAAAATCGTATGCAACTGTCGACCTTGTGCCAATTGATTACGTAACGATAAATAGATAATAAATAATTTTTTTGCATGTCAGTGGCCAGTGCAAATTAGCTGGTCCAAACCGAAACAACTTTTTGAGACTTTACCTAACAACGACGGGTGTGTCTGAAGCGTCAAAATTCTCATCCTCGCTTTTGTAATAATTAATTATTGTGTGCTAATGAGTGCGAATTGTTTTTCAAAATCTCGACTTTGTGCATGTTACGCAATTACGCCCTTGACAAAAGTTTATTGGTTAATTACCTACACGTACCGCGAGTCCCAAGCCTCTTTTATTAGGTATCATTTTCCCTAATTCCAGTAGCAGGCGAGATAGATTTTATCGTATTTGTGGCACTAAAATTCGAATTGTTGATTCTCTCTGATCAATGATAAACAATAACAATATATTTAACCATAAATAGACGCAATCCTAGGGGTCAACTGTGCATGTGCGTCAGATTGCGTAATTTTAAATGTTCGCAGTTTCCAAGACGAAATTTTGTAAAAGTCCAATGGTTAATTGCTGTTTTGGACGGTTCAAAGGGAGCAAGTGGATAAAAGTAAACAATTTGAAGTAAATGATAACGAAACATTATTGACGCTACTTGTAATTCCAAATTTGAAATACTCTAAATAAATCCGAACAAGGTGCGATTGTACCGCCCATAATCTTATCATGTGATTAACACTTACGATAATTAACGCTTAATTATGTGGGTTAATAATCAACTTGATTGATACTGAACAATTTGCAATTCAATTGCAAGCAGTCGTTCATGTTTATGTTAGTCGCTTTATCTATAGATACCTGAAGTGTTTTAAGGCAGAGATCACCAGAGTGGCATGTTTTTCAGAAATTGAGACGATCGGTACGAACATACGGACAGAACCTGAAAACTTTAGACGTTTTTTAGATAAAAAACAAATTCAATATAAATATTAACTTTAGCGACAAATATTTGCACTTTTATCCGGTTTTCGTACGTCTAAAGATAAAAAGTTTTTGACGTCACCATGACCGCAATTTTGCATTACGTAATTGTTCTGCATGCACACGTGCATAATTCTATCATAATAAAATCAGGATGCTCTTGAAACCCTAGACAAAATGCAGCAAAAAGTAACAGGAGCAACCTCTTCTGATTTCAAACAATAATTGTTCCTTATGTTTTCCTGATAGATTGCTTTTTATGACGAACTTCACGAAATACCTAGAACCGCAGTTCTGTTATACTCAAAACTCAAGAGGTAACAATTCTGATCTCAAATAGAGGTTGTGCCTATTCACCCCTTATGGTTTCCTAATAGTCCAGTTCATGTGACGAAAGTCCAGAAAGACCCCCTAGAACCCTAATCCACAGTGAGGAGAATCCTAGCACCAAGTAACAAGGGTGAATATACCTTCTCCGATTTCTAAAAGTGATTGTTTCTATCCTCTCCTTATGATTTCCTGATAGTTCGGTTTCAATGACGAAAGTGACGAAATAACCTTTAATCCCAGTGATATTGTATACCCTTACAAGAAGTAACAGGGGCTAAAAATACCTCTTCTGATTTCAAACAGTCATTGTTTCTGCTCGCTCCTTATGATTTCCTGATAGTTCGGTTTTTATGACGAAAGTTGATCTTGATCCTTATGGTTTACTGGTAGTTCGATTTTTGTGACGAAAACCACGAGAGACCTTCTCGGACCTTAATCCCCATTAATATTGAAAATCCTAGCAAAAAGTAACAGGCGCTGAAATACCTCTTCTGATCTCTAACAGCTTTTGTTCCTACTTGCTCCTTATGGTTTCCTAATAGTTCGGTTTTTGTCTCGAAAGTTACGAGAGACCTATTAGAACCGTAATACCCTGTGACATTAGAAACTTTAGCAAAGGGTAACAGGGGCTCAATACCTCTTTTGACCTCATTCAGTAATTGTTCGTGCTTGCTCCGTATGCTTTCCTGATAGTTCGGTTTTTATTGAACGTTAATACCTAATGATATTGAAAACCTTAGCAAGAAGTACCAGGGGATAAAATACCTCCTCTTATCTCAAACTGTATTTGTTCCTACTGGTTCCTTATGGTTTCCTGATAGTCCGGACAAAAACCTCTCAGAATCTTAATCTGACGTGATATTGGAAACCTTAGTAAGTTGTAACAGGAGCTAAAATACCTCTTCAGATCTCAAACGGTAATTATTGTCTCTACTCGCTCCTTGTGTTTGGCGTTCGGTTAGACACCAAAGACCTCCAGAATCTTAATCCCCCATTATATTAAAAACCGTAGCAAAAAGTAACAGGCTCTCAAATACCTCTTCTGATTTCAAACAGCTTTTGTATTTACTTGTCTCTTTTTGTGTTTTCCTGATAGTTCGGTTTTTGTGACGAAAGTCACAAAACACCTCCTAGAACCTTAATTCCCAGTGATATTAAAAACCATAGCAAGCAGTAACATGGACTAAAATACCTCTTCTGATCACCAACAATCCTTGTGACGAAAGTCCCGAAAGACCCCCTAGAAGTCTAATCCCCAGTGAGGAAAATTCTAGCACCACGTACGTAACAAGGGTGAATATACCTCTTCCGATTTCTAAAAGTGATTGTTTCTACCCGCTCCTTATGATTTCCTGATAGTTCGGTTTCTATGACGAAAGTGACCAAAGACCCTTTAATCCCAGTGATATTGTATACCCTTACAAGAAGTAACAGGCGCTGAAATACCTCTTCTGACCTCTAACAGTTTTTGTTCCTACTTGCCCCTTATGGTTTCCTAATAGTTCGGTTTTTGTTTCGAAAGTTACGAGAGACCTATTAGATCCATAATCGCCTGTGACATTAGAAACTTTAGCAAAGGGTAACAGGGGCTAAATACCTCTTTTGACCTCATGCAGTAATTGTTCGTGCTTGCTCCGTATGCTTTCCTGATAGTTCGGTTTTTGTGACGAAAGTCACAAAAGGCGACATACCTAATGATATTGAAAACCTTAGCAAGAAGTACCAGGGGACAAAATACCTCCTCTTATCTCAAACTGTATTTGTTCCTACTGGCTCCTTATGGTTTCCTGATAGTCCAGACAAAAACCTCTCAGAATCTTAATCTGACGTGATATTGGAAACCTTAGTAAGTTGTAACAGGAGCTAAAATACCTCTTCAGATCTCAAACGGTAATTATTGTCTCTACTCGCTCCTTGTGTTCGGAGTTCGGTTAGACACCAAAGACCTCTAGAATCTTAATCCCCCATTATATTAAAACCGTAGCAAAAAGTAACAGGCTCTCAAGGGGACAAAATACCTCTTCTTACTGCAATTGTTCCTACTGGCTCCTTATGGTTTCTTGATAGTCGATGACGTGAAGGTACGTTTTCTCTTTATTATCATTTTTCAGCGAAGAATATTGGCACTGAATTTCTTCTTTCACTCACTCTTTTTAATTCACTCAGCTCTTAACTATAGGACCAACCAGCTTTTAAAATAACAAATTTGTCACGATAATTTTTTCCGATAAATCGCAATAATTGCACGCTACTAACGAACGTGGCCACTTTCAGATAGCGAGTTAATGAATAATGCTTTCTTATACATTACCTACTTCATTACTCGTAAAGGGAACTCAGCCGAAACCGCTACAAGGTCCGGGGCCGGAGAACAACGGCCTCCTTTTTCCGTTTCGTTGCAGGTGTTCGCGTTTTAATAAATTCTTACTACGAAAGCGTTTGGGTCCAAGATGCAAAACATTCCGTTGCGTCATACTTATTGTGTCAAGTTACGTAAAAAACCATCTGTTTCCCGATAAGTGTGGAGACGGGAGGAGAGCAAGTGCTCACATTTTTTTCGTTGACTACCCCTTTTAATATCGGTCTAACGAGCGAACGCATAAATGACAGTACTCGGGACCTATTACCTATAAGAACGCGGACTGGTATTAGGGGTTGAAATGGACAGTGGTTCACAGAACCAAGTTGGAGGCTCTAAAAAAAAGCAATATGTGGGTCACTCTGTAATTGGGCGTAAGCCTGGTGAGGGCCTAGAACATGAGGGACAATAAATAAATAATGTCTTTATTATAATAGGTGGTTCATTCTAGGTCTGCTTCTCACAGAACCTTACTGTCAGTCGTGGTAAACGTTTTAAAACCAACCCCAAACCATTAAAATATGAGTCAATTATCAGAGGAGGAATTAATGAACCCTTAATTCCATTTCCAATGACCGCCGTTCCGGAGCATTGCTCTCATCTGTTGCATTTATTCATACCAGACACACATATTTGTATAGGATTATAGCTGCTTGCAAATATTGCATCTTAATACAATTCATTGATGCTAATTGAAGAGAATTTACCTTGTATTGCGACAGTCGGTTCGCACTGAATATAATGAACAAAATTCGCTTCCAATGGTGCTCGTGTGCTCGGATTTAAACAGAGATCATGGCGCTTCTTGTCGCCAGACATACTTTCGTTCACTTTCGCTACGAAGCGGTGCATGTGTAAATTTTCATATAGTGAACATTACAATATTTTTTTAATTCTAAAGCCTTTATTTTTTATAATGATAAATGAGAAGTTACAATTTATGGACGTTAAGCTTAAATGGTACAACGGGAAGAGGAATGAAAGAAATTGGATTGAGCCTAATTGGCGACTGAGAATCCGGATGGACTGTAAACCTGAAATTGGTTAATAGCACAGCAATGGCCGCCTTGATTTGCAGTATTCCTAGTTGGTAACCTGTGAAAGGTGGTTTTCACTTTGGTACAAAAGGATTCAATATGTTTACCGATGCATTGGCGTTTACCTAGGCCAAACGGCGAGAATACCGAGGTGTCGTTTTCTGTATTGTCTTCCGCAAATCTTTCTGGGTTATATCTCTCCGGATCTGGAAAATATTGCGGATCCATGTAAACCCCCTGGAGTGGTATAAAGACGTTGGTCCCTTTTTCGAGAGTGACCGAGGAGTTGGGAACGTTATACGCTTTGGAGCAAATGCGCGTATTTATCGGGGCAAGTGGGAATGTTCTCATAGCTTCTGCAAGGTGGAAAGATTTTGGGGTTGTGGTCATCCTAAAGAGCTTGCTCACCTGAAATGCAATTGTCGGTGTAGTCCAGACCTTTGAGAACTTCGTAAGTGATCGCTTGGTGTTTTCCCAGTGCTTTCACAACTTCACTCCTGGCTTTTTCTTGAGCGTCCTCATCAGAAGCCAACGCAAACAAAGTAAACGCTATCACGGTACTTGTCGTTTCAGTTCCTGCTAGGAATAATCCAAAGCATTGCCCCACGATTTCGCTCATGCTCAAGTCGTTTTTGCTACCAGCATGCGTTAGGTTGTGGAGCACGTCGCGTCGGGTATCGTCGATTTTCCCGCCACCCCGTTGAAAAACAAGATCGGTAAAAAATCGGGCGAGGTCATCATCGAAGACCTTCAGTTTTAATAGTGAATACATCTCTGGGAAAATTATATTTAACATCAATCGCAGGGACTGCTTCCAACCCGCACCAAAGACCAATTCCACATACTTTTTAAAGACTGAATTCGCATCGACTAAGAAACCGGCTTCGATTCCGTACGTAAATGAGATCAGCACATCAGTTGTGTACCTTTCGCATGCTTCCTTTACATTAACCCCTTCCAAATTGCCAACCATTCCGCCAAACAATACCTTTAATTGTTCGGCGTATTTCAAAACAGTTTCGCAGCACCTCTTTACGTTGCCATGGGAAAATGAAGGTGACATCAACGACCGCACGGTTCTCCACCGATCACCTTTCAAGTTGAATAAATACGTGCTTAGCGGATCGTTCTTTTCGTCTACGTGTCCAATGTGGTCGGTGAAATGGTCGAAATCAGTGGTACAGATCCGCTTAATTAACTCAACGTCGATGGGCACGAAGATGGCTTTCGTTAAGAGATAGTAGCCGGCAAATGGTATCCGTTCCTTTCTGCAACGTTGATAGAATTTCTGAATGTTAACGCCGATTGCTTCCTTTTGAAGGACCAAATCGATTGCGTTCCCAAATGGAGGCGTTGGACGGAATGTGTAGACGCCTCTTTTTTGCCAGTAGGAGTAAGCACTTCGAAGAAAGAATAAACTGTATACTAATAGAACTAATAGAATAATTAACATTAACGCCATATTGAAATTGTGTTGTGTTTATAGACTAATATGTGAAGGAAGACAAGATAATACTGTTAACAAACAAATTATTATGTGTCCGAACTTGCCAGACGAAACGATAGTGTTTATCGGGTTGCGATAACCTAGATAGCGTTTCAGTTTATAATATCAACATTAATTAGATTAATTGCGATCGATAAAAAAACATGATCTTAGTAACCAATTACACTTGTGATACTGCACCTATACTGAGTCTAATACAGAAAATACCCTTGGTGCCTGAAGCGATATGGCCATTTAATCAAGTTAAACGCTAATGTATGGCACCAGATAAGCGGCACCTACCGGCGCATGCGCGAATCAGAGTAAAAACCGTAGATTTTCACGAGGTCCAGGCTCGAAGGGTTCATCAGTACCAAACACGCAAAAAAATTTCTTAGAAAATGTGTACTAGCCGAGGATCGTTTAATCAACTTATCAGGCAATATTGGGTACAGGATATGCGTCTTTTTCCGAGGCCTCGAAAATATGTGAATAACGCCCAATTTGAGTGTAGTTTTGCATGGAGTGTGCCAATTCCCTTTCACCTTCAGACGGATTTCTTCACAAAAAGTCTCAAGTTCCAAATTTCAAGGGCCTGCCTACGGATTAAACCAAGCGATTCCGTGATACAGACATTTTTTGGACGAAAGGGGTCCACACGTTTCGCAGTGCCCAAAGGGGGGGGGGGGGAGTGTCTTCTAATTCACTTTTCTTCTACTTATGCCTTTTTTGCTTACCGTTTTTTTTTTTTTTACCATTTTGTTGCTTTTTTGCGCATGCAATTTATCATTGTTTTCATATGTTTTAACTAGGGAATGCAATCCCGCAGCAAAATCTCAATCCCGGTATTTGCGGGATTGCTAGATGTTAATCCCGCAGGATCACGGTATTTGCGGGATCCCGCAGAACTTTAAATAAATTGGCAACTAAGCAATTCTGTGCGGTTAACTTCTGCATTAAAATAAGTCGCTAATTATCACAATATTTAACAAAAAAGTACTTTCGGACTAACTTAGAACTCCATAATTTCAAACAGTTCCAAGATTGGGCTACTAGTTCAAAAGTTACAGCCCTTTGAATTTTTTTTCGAAATTGGTTTCTAGTCTATAACTTTTGATTGAGAAGTCTGATCGAAAAAGCACGAATTAATTTGGATTCTACGCACCCAAATTAATAAGAAAAAGTGTTTTCCCGAGAAATTTTGGTGTAGTCGATTTTTGGTAAAAAGGAAGGTTATACACTGCCTTTTTTTGAGCCCGAAAAAGAAATTGTCTCAGATCGACCGGAAAAAAAATTTTCTTATAGAATGTGGCCTGTAGAATCCATAATTTCAAACAGTTCCAAGATTGGGCTACTAGTTCAAAAGTTACAGCCCTTTGAATTTTCTTTCGAAATTGGTTTCTAGTCTATAACTTTTGATTGAGAAGTCTGATCGAAAAAGTACGAATTGTTTTGGATTCTACGCACCAAAATTAATAAGAAAAGTGTTTTCCCGAGAAATTTTGGTGTAGTCGATTTTTGGTAAAAAAGGAAGGTTATACACTGCCTTTTTTTGAGGCCCGAAAAAAAAATTGTCTCAGATCGATCCGGAAAAAGAATTTTCTTATAGAATGTGGCCTGTAGAATCCATAATTTCAAACAGTTCCAAGATTGGGCTACTAGTTCAAAAGTTACAGCCCTTTGAATTTTTTTTCGAAATTGGTTTCTAGTCTATAACTTTTGATTGAGAAGTCTGATCGAAAAAGTACGAATTGATTTGGATTCTACGCACCCAAATTAATAAGAAAAAGTGTTTTCCCGAGAAATTTTGGTGTAGTCGATTTTTGGTAAAAAAGGAAGGTTATACACTGCCTTTTTTTGAGCCCCGAAAAAAAAATTGTCTCAGATCGACCCGGAAAAAAAATTTTCTTATAGAATGTGGCCTGTAGAATCCATAATTTCAAACAGTTCCAAGATTGGGCTACTAGTTCAAAAGTTACAGCCCTTTGAATTTTCTTTCGAAATTGGTTTCTAGTCTATAACTTTTGATTGAGAAGTCTGATCGAAAAAGTACGAATTGTTTTGGATTCTACGCACCAAAATTAATAAGAAAAAGTGTTTTCCCGAGAATTTTGGTGCAGTCGATTTTTGGTAAAAAAGGAAGGTTATACACTGCCTTTTTTTGAGCCCCGAAAAAAAAATTGTCTCAGATCGACCCGGAAAAAAAAATTTCTTATAGAATATCGCCTGTAGAATCCATAATTTCAAACAGTTCCAGATTGGGCTACTAGTTCAAAAGTTACAGCCCTTTGAATTTTTTTTCGGAATTGGTTTCTAGTCTATAACTTTTGATTAAGAAGTCTGATTGAAAAAGTACGAATTGATTTGGATTCTACGCACCCAAATTAATANCTGTGTGTATGCCGGGTTTTTTTCCCGAAGAAGGTTTCCCTGCTATCTCCTTGTGCAAGTACGTAATATGTTTTATTTGTTATTGTTTTTTCTTACGCACAATACTATGATCTATTCAATTCCCTTCGCGATTATGTCTCACGTCTCGACATATAAAAAAACCGACCTAGTAGGCACATTACACAACGTAGGAGTTCATTCCTGCCATCAATATCGAGACGACTGCTAGCTAGATTCAAAAGTGCCGCGAAACGTCCATCGTTTCGTCTTGAAAGTTAGGTGGCGCTGCTCGTATAGTTTGTCCCTAGAATTGCTGTGCCGGCTTGGGGGACCCCTAGGATAATTGCAATAAACATTCTATACCTATTGCTCCACCGTGCCGCTTGCACATCCGGCAGCAAAACTAAAACGTGCTGCATCCTCATTGGCCAAAACGGTCAACCGATGAGGGCCTAGCGTTTCTGACCGCAAAACATTTTTTAAAAGCAAAAGCTCCGGATTTTCGGAAAACCAATACCGCTCGATTAGCCTGCTTGTCGACGATGTGAAGTTGGCCCCGCCCAAACATGAAATAATTTGACAAAAATGCAGGGACAGTTAGTTGCTACGTTAGTGCTAAACCGGGGCGTGGCCAACTTCACACTTCAACTTTATTTATCGAAAAACAACGCACACGGCGTTAGTGCTATTAAATTGCCAGACAAACCAGTATCTCAAATTATTTCGCCTGTTCCTAAAAAATTCAAATTTGAAGGGAATTAAATAAAAGACAGAACTTTTGTGCGTAAGAAATGACAAGAACAAATAAATATATTACGCACACCACAAGACCATGCCAGGGAAACATTCTACGGGACTAAAACCCTGGCATAGGCCACACAAATACATGAAATAAATCACCTACAGCAATAAAATGCAAGAGAAAATACACATAAATAAAACATCTCAAATGGTATGATAAAAATCAGATAATCAAATCAAATGCAATTAAACAAGTTCATAAAAACAAAATACACAAGACATCATAAATGCAGTGGAAAACATGATAAATTAATTCAGTACAAAAACACATCAAAAAAAAATTGGGGGGGCCGACATGACTTCTTGCCAACTCAACTGTAAAAATTTCCAACTCAAGCGGGAAGTATCTATTAAGTATTAAGTGGTATTTTCAAATCTAATAAATCATGTAGAAAATGTAGGATATCAGTATACGGTCTCTAATACTAATGAAAAGCATTACCAAAATACCAACCTTGTGTTGAAGAAGAAGGAAGTGACTTTCCTATTAAAGAGTCCTTTTTTATAGATTTTGCCGCAATTCCTCATTCCTTCAATAGTCGATTTATTACATTTACGATTTACCTACTTTCGCGGCATTCGCCAACTGGTAATGAAAATTACCAACTCTTGTCAAAATTGCCAACTAGTTAAGTATTGGAGGGGCAGCCTGCCCCCCCCCCCCCCATAGGTCCGTCGCTGATTGAGCCAACACAACTCGTAAATAATAAATTGCATGTACATAGATTTTAAATAGTGGAAATGTTAATGAGACGGGCCCCTACTCGCATTGCTAAGATGCTAAGAACTGCAATCCGCACGAGCAGAGTAGGCAACAGATACAGCGAAAGATCGATGTAAAGGTGTGTTGCCTAACCATAAGGGTGGATTATCACATTAAATTGTACTGTAAGGTTACAGACAGATTGGGATGTTTATGCAAGATTTCTGAAACATTAATGTGCTATATATCTATTTAATTAATTGCCTATCGATCGCTTGCATGCGTGGTATTTGTAAATAGGTATAATTGTTTGGAGGTGCTTGGACAGGTGTTTTGTGGGTGGATTAGTGATCATTTACTATTGCACACGTTAATATATGTACTTACAGGTCCATGGAATAAAAAGAAACCTTCACAAGGAGGGTCTAAAAGACACACTTTCCAGATCAAGTGTCAGGAGAAATAAACTCATTTGTTTCGGAGGCATATATGACAGGTCAAGCACCAAGGAATGAAGGTGTATCCAAGGTGTTGCTTCCTGGATTTCTTGATATTGACAAGGGGGTAGGTCGGCTGTGGTACTCCGACTTGGATTGTATATAGTGCTTGTTTGCTACCCAAACAATACCAAATCAAATTATATTGAAAAATATCGCAATTATCTATTACAGTCGGTATAAATATTGACATCACAAAACAATATCGGAAGTCGCATACATCACTCGCTCATACCTATCTACACATAAATAATTAATTAAACGTAACGAAATTGAACTACAGCTCGCTATGAATCGGCTTTAATTGTTCTATCTTTTGTATAAAGTCGTTCTTCTCGATACAACCCTGGCAGTCCTCGCCCCAGTCGTTAATTATCTTCTTCAAATCTCTCACCTTCAGCTTCTTCAAGTCGACGGTTTTCAAATCGATTTCGACGTCGTACCGCAACTCGCAAATTTGTCCGTCCTTCTTCTTCAGCTTTTCGCATATTTTATCCGAGGGCATCGACCACGATAGCGGTTTCGAGAGTTCGCTTAAAATGCCGGTCGCGCTCTCCTCGAGCCCGCCGAGGTAGTAACACTGAAAGCCGAAATCTCACCACCTTCCCGACAATAGTAGCGGTACTTACGAATCGATTCTCTTTTGTTTTCGTACCCTTGCAGAACTCTTTGAACGCCGTTTCTATCTTCTTGGGGTCCTTTTTGACGTCGTCCGAGAGTTTCGACGAGAATTTGTCGATTGCCTTAATGCATACTGCAATAGGAGAAAGGGTGAGGGGTTGGTTCTCGGAAATGTTCACTCAACTTACCCTCGCAGTCGCCCGGTTTTAAACTGTAAACTGTCGAAATTGTGGCGAGAGCTAGAAGAATTGGCGTTACGAATTCCATAACTGGGAAAATGTGAGGTTATTTTGTGGGAAAAGGGCCGCACTTCACTAAACTAGGTTTTGCGTGGCTTTGCCTACGAAACGAACGGTTTATTTCATTAAAACCCTTCAGAAAACCACGTTGACAGTAGGCTGAAAACTAGTACACGCCACATTTGGCGCCACGCGATTCGTCCACGTCGATGAAGTGGGCGGTGCAAAAACAACCGGTAAATTTGAAACTTGCTTGTACATCAGCCTGTGTACTGTCCTATACAGGGTGATTCGAAGTTATTAAGTTTCATGTTAACACGTGGGAATAATTTATAAATGGCGGGGATTGATGGTGAGGGGGGGTTACCATGCCGTTTTTGGAGACTTGAAAATATACCCCCTTAATCCTATTCTACATGAAAGGCCTTTTTCTTAAGAACGCAATTTATCATTCAATTTCTAGCGCACTCGTACAACTGTACAACAACTCGCCGACATTCCCTTAAGTCTCTCACCTTGGCTACCAGGAGAACATAATAGTTGAGGAGGTCTTTTCCCATCACCCACAAACGTATTTTGAAGGCCAATTTCGTTTTAAATTTTTACAAATTTTGTATCAGGAGAATATAATATGCGAAGAGGTGTTTCAGCTTCTAATACACGAACTGTCACTCAGAAAATTCGTGTAAAATTTTGTCTGGCTACCAGGAGAACATAATGGTTGAGGAGGTCTTTTCCCATCGCTAGCAAACGTATTTCTAAGCCAAATTTCGTTTTAAATCTTTACACATTTTGTATCAGGAGAATATAATATGCAAGGAGGTGTTTCAGCTCCTAATACACGAAGTGCCAATCAGAAAATTCATGTAAAATTTTGTATGGCTACCAGGAGAACATATTGGTTGACGAGGTCATTTCCCATCACCCACAAACGTATTTCGAAGGCAAATTTCGTTTTAAATCTTGACAAATTTTGTATCAGGAGAATATAATGTGCGAGGAGGTGTTTCAGCTCCTAATACGCGGACTGTCACTCAGAGAATTCTTGTAAAATTTTGTCTGGTCATCAGGAGTACATACTGGTTGAAGAGGTCTTTTCTCATCACCCACAAACGTATTTCGAAGGCAAATTTCGTTTTAAGTTTTTACAAATTTTGTATCAGGAGAATATAATGTACGAAGAGTTGTTTCAGATCTTAATACATGGACGGTCACTCAGAAAATTCGTGTAAAATTTTGTCTGGCTACCAGGAGAACATACTGGTTGAGGAGGTCTTTTCCCATCACCCACAAACCTACTTCGAAGGAAAATTTCGTTATAAAAATTTACAAATTTTGTATCAGGATAATATAATATGCGAGGAGGGGTTTCAGCTTCTAATACACGGACTATCACTCAGAAAATTCTTGTACAATTTTGTCTGGCTACTAGGAGAAAACGATGGTTGAGGAGGCCCTTTCCCATCACCCGCAAACGTATTTCGAAGGCAAATTTCGTTTTAAATCCTTGCAAATTTTGTACCAGGAGAATATAATGTACGAAGAGGTGTTTCAGCTCCATACACGGACTGTCACTCAGAAAATTCTTGTATAATTTTGTCTGGCTACCAGGAGAAAACGATGGTCGAGGTCTTTTTCCATCTCCCACAAACATATTTCAAAGCCAAATTTCGTTTTAAATCTTTACAAATGTTGTATCAGGAGAATATAATATGCGAGGAGGTGTTTCATTTCAGCTCCTAATACACGGACTGTCACTCACAAAATTCTTGTAAAATTGAAGAAATTGAGAAGATGTTGGTTGAGGAGGTCTTTTTCCACCACTCACAAACGCATCGTAAAGCCAAATTTCGTTTTAAATTATTACAAATTTTGTATCAGGAGAATATAATGTTCGAGGAGGTGTTTCAGCTACTAATACACGATCTATTACTTAGAAAATTCTTGTAAAATTTTGCCTGGCTACTAGGAGAACGTGATGGTTGAGGAGGTTTTTCCCATCACCCGCAAACGTATTTCGAAGGCAAATTTCGTTTTAAATCCTGACTAATGTTGTATCAGGAGAATATAATGTGCGAAGAGGTAATTCAGCTTATAATACACGAACTGTCACCCAGAAAATTCATGTAAAATGTTGTCGGGTTTCCAGAAAAACATGATGGTTGAGGAGGTCGTTTCCCATCACCCACAAACGTATTTCGAAGGCAAATTTCGTTTTAAATCCTTACAAATTTTGTATCAGGAGAATATAATGTGCGAGGAGGTGTTTCAGCTACTAATACACGAATTCAGTAAACACATTTAGGTACCTATCTCATTTACTTCTATTTACTAACTTTAAGATGTCTTGCACTTTTTTTTGAAACAGTATTATAAGTTTGTATTTTCATTTTGTTTATTCTTTGAAATTTCCTGTAATAGGCTTTGCTGTTGGAAATAAATTATTATTATTATTATAACTATCAGTTAAAAAATTCTTGTAAAATTTGTCTGGCTACCGGGAGAACATGATGGTTGAGGAAGTCTTTTCCCATCACCCACAAACGTATTTCGAAGGCAAATTTCGTTTTAAATCTTTACAAATTTTGTATCAGGGGAATATAATGTGCGAGGAGGTGTTTCAGCTCCTAATACACAGACTGTCACTCAGAAATTTTTTTTTAAATTTATCTGGCTACCGGGAGGACATGATGATTGAGGAGGTCTTTTTCCATCACCCGCAAACGTGTTTCGAAGGCAAATTTTGTTTTAAATTTTTACAAATTTTGTATCAGGAGAATATAATAAACGAGGAGGTGTTTTAGCTCCTAATACACAGACTGTCACTCAAAAAATGTTTGTAAAATTTTGTCTGGCTACCAGGAGAACATACTGGTTGAGGAGGTCTTTTCCCATTACCCGCAAACGTATTTCGAAGGCAAATTTCGTTTTAAATTTTTACAAATTTTGTAACAGGAGAATATAATATGCAAGGAGGTGTTTCAGCTCCTAAAACACGGACTGTAACTCGCAAACGTGTTCCGAAGGCAAATGTCGGTTTAAATCTTTACAAATTTTTTATCAGGAGAATATAATATGCGAAGAGGTGTTTCAGCTCCTAATACACGTACTGTCACTCAGAAAATTTTTGTAAAATTTTGTCTGGCTACCAGGAGAACATACTGGTTGAGGAATCCCATCGCCCGCAAACGTATTTCGAAGGTAAATTTCGTTTTAAATCCTTACAAATTTTGTACTAGGAGAATATATAATGTGCGAAAAGGTATTTTCGCTCCTAATATACCAACTGTCACTCAGAAAATTCTTGTAAAGTTTTGTCTGGCTACCAGGAGAACATGATGGTTGAGGAGGTATTTTTCCATCATCTGCAAACGCATTTCGAAGGTAAATTTCGTTTTAAATCCTTACAAAGTTTGTACTAGGAGAATATAATGGGCGAACACTCAGAAAATTCCTGTAAAATTTTTTTTTGATTACCAGGAGAACACGATGGTTGAGGAGGTCTTTTCCCGTCACCCGCAAACGTATTTCGAAGGCAAATTACATTTTAAATCCTTACAAATTTTTTATCAGGAGAATACAATGTGGGAGGAGGTGTTTTTCATGTTCGATGTCACCCTAGAAAGATGACTATACCCCACTATGGTAATTCCTGTTACAAGGTCAGTCTGAATAGATAATAGCGGATCTAGAATTGACCCTTGAGGGATGGTGCCATCTACTTTCTACGATTCTATTGGTGCGGTCTGATCCTGCAGCGCCCTTGGAATGATTTTCGGGGGAAGTTTCACACGTCCAGGGAGGTCAAGACGGCTACCTCCCTGATCCTGCACGTGTCGTTCTTGACTAGAGATTGGATTTTCTTTTGTGTCTTTGATGAAAACTCTTAACTAAACCCGCCCGCCTTCTCGCCATCACCCTGTCACAAAGCTACCGATGTGGGGAAGGGTCTTTAGGATACTGCGGTAACATACCCCTACGGTTAGGCAACACACCTCATATTTGACAGACTCTCAGTATGCGAAGAATACGAAATGCAATCGTTCTGCGCAGGCAGGAATCATGTTTGTTTGTTATACTGTGCGGATGATTATGTCTATATATTGTTTTATTAATTATTTATTTATATATTGACGATACAAGTTCGTCGCAAGTGACTACGTTTAAATTTTTTGTTTGGGCTATGCCAGGTTTTTTGTCCACAAAAGGTTTTCCTGGTATCGCCTTATATTTTATTTGCTTTTGTGTTTTTCTCACGCAAAATTCTGAGTTTTATGCTAATAAGAAGGGGGTGAGGGTTAGAGTAAGCAATTAAACTTTCTAACATGACAGTTGACGTAATATTAGTGAACGTTTGATGAGTTGACCACTTTTCTAAAATGTAGTTTTTCTTCCACTATCTTGTTAGTAATGCATGACCTGGCAATATTGTAATTGCAACCGGCAACGCTGCACTTAAAGTTTTGTTTAAATTGTTTTGTTTTTGTTGTTTTTCTAACCTCAAATCTTATGCAAATTTACGACTGATAAATATTACGTTTAAATGGATTCTTCTGATTTTGAGTCAATATGCCGAGCGTGTATGAAGAAAGGTTCTTTAATCTCCCTATTTACCTATCATCACAATTACTCGGTTCAACTGTGGGAAATGCTTCACTTGTGCTCTTCGATAGCGGCAAGTGTATGACCTTTTTCTACCCTTTCAACTTCGCATTTTAGATAAACCCCGAAGACAATCTCCCGCGTAACATCTGCACCGAATGCAAAGTGAGTCTTATCGCTCTGTACAAATTTCGGGACACAATTTTGACCACGGACGCGATATTGCGACGACTTCTGAAAGGAGGCAGGCATAAAGCAGCCAAGGACATTGTCGATGAGGTGAAAGTGGAGCCGACCGAAGAACGGGCTGAGATTATTTCGTACCGCGAGGAAATTGTGAAGGCGGAGTCTGATGAGAAGAAAAAGGTATGTACAGGGTGTCCCACTAAAGCTGAAGCTTGTATAGAAAAATTATCACCAACCTGAGAATAGTTCAGGTGAAAGCTATACAATTTTTGAAATATTCCCATGTCTCCTTTTCGAGATAAATGATTGCACCAAAGCTCTTATGCTCAAACCGTTCGCGATATAAACATGAACATTAGAACTGTACCATTAACCTACCGGGGGTTAAGCGGTAGAACATTTTACTGTAGAACTGAACTTCGCACCATTTCAAACTGTATATATATTTTTTTGCCCATATAATATAATATAATATATAATACTATTACCTATTAATATAAATTGTTACTATTATTATTATTTGAAATTATTTCACTATGTATATGTGATATAATATTTATATTTTGTTCTTTTGTAATTTTTATGTATATGTGGGTTTTTTACTTTCATTGTGACCATGTCTATGTCAATAACGTTGATCAGAGACAATAAATTATTATTATTTTGAGGTTAAAAAATTTGAGTGCGACCGCCATCTTGAATTTTTTTAAATAGCATCATCGGTGGTGTGACACCTCATTAGAAAGCGTATTTTTTTCTCTTTCTTATTACTTTAATCATGAACGGTGTTAAATTACAAAATAATGGAGAAAAATTAGATTTCCTACGTTTGACCCGCCATCTTGGGTCTTGCGGATTTCTTGAAAGTCACCAGTGTACCCTGAATTTTTTTAAGAATCGAATTCGCATCTCCAATCATAGGATTATAGGCCATATGTGAGCTCGAACAGGTGATCTGTTACTTTTTAAAACAAGCTAAATTTTCACCTTAAACAACGAAATATTTTTATAGCAACGCGGTTACTACGACGCAAAATTTCGAATTTTTGTGTTACTAACACTTTTCGACAAGAAATGCTGTCTTGTCATTGCGAGCTTTTTTCTTATATAGCTCCCGTTGTATTAAGATAAGGATGTTGCGGGTATATATTTACTTTTTATTTGTTTTTAGGTGAAGAGTCTACAATGCGAAACATGCGGTAAATTTTTGAGTTGCCACAGCAATTTGGCGCAGCACATGCGTTGGCACACCGGTGAAAAACCGTTCGCCTGCGATCTGTGCGGCAAAAAATTCGCCAGATCGGAACACGTCCGAATCCATCGGCGCATACATACGGGCGAACGGCCGCACGCCTGCAAGATTTGCCACAAGAGCTTCGTGCAGTACGCCTCGCTGGCGGCGCACTCGCGCACTCACAGCGGCGAACGGCCGCACACGTGCCGCGTCTGCGGCAAGTCGTTTAGTCAGTCGGCCAGCTTGACGTACCACACGCGCACGCACACCGGCGAAACGCCGTTCACGTGCCAGATATGCAACAAGGGTTTCGCGTACTCCGGCAATCTGAGCATACACATGCGGTTCCACAGGAACGAGCGACCGTTCAGTTGTGACGTTTGCGGAAGGACGTTCGTGACGAGTTCGCATTTGGCCGCGCATACCAAACAGCATACCGGCGATCGGCCGCATCGTTGCGATGTGTGCGGTAAGGCGTTCATGCGAAGCGAGCACTTGAAAGACCACCGGGTCACGCATACCGGCGAAAAACCGCACGCGTGCAAGCTGTGTCCCAAACGGTACACTCAGAGTAGTCACCTGAATAGGCATATGAAGAGTCATAAAACTTGACACTGTCATTGAAATAAATCATTATTCGAATTTGGTGGTTTTATTTACAGAATAGCTTCTTCTGCGGCTTTTTGAGTAGTAATATCGGCTCTCACTTAGGTGACAAAGGAAAATAAAAAAATTATCAATTTCAAAATTACCCTATAGCCTTATATTTTCTTAAAAGATTCAAAAAAATCTTTATTGCAAAAGTTTCTTAATAATGACAAAAAAGTCCAAAGAAGGTCTGAAATTGTTTGTGGAAGCGCGCGAGGATCAAATTTCCCGTTTTTTAAACCTTCTCGTCATTTACAATAATTTCGAGTGCCATTTTATTAATAGGTGTTATTTAAGTTGCCTACCTTGTCCGTTTAATGCGGTTCATAATGAAATTGTTCTATATAAATGACGCAATGACCTATAGTTCACAATGAAAATAACTCGAAATAAAATAGTCTAATGGCTCATTAAAACTAATCATTTATTAGATCTATCTAATGATTTTGATTAGTTTACATTAACAGCAATGAAAATAGTTCAAAATAAAACACTGCAATGGGGTAATAAAACGATTTATGTATTAGATAATTTTATATTTTCTAGCAAAAAAGGATATCGATCACTTTTTTAAGGATTTCCAAATATAAAATACTTCAAAATATTCTTTACATTTCCTATTAATACACTAGTGCAACATTAACTGATCACCCTGTATAAAACCTGAAGCAAAAATTCCAATGTGAAGTTAGCTAAGATGAATGATTTTAATTTTTGTTTATTGTACCAACCTCTAGGAGAAAAAACAAATAACACTAAGCCAGAGAATCTACCTAACAGGTGTTCCTCTGTGAGCACACTGGGAAAACGCAAAATATTTAAATAAACACAACTCGAGCAACAATGTTAATAGACACCGTTGCTGGTACGTGAAACCCTGACACTCAATTCCCCATAACCACCTTGTATAATTTCTAGGTTGGACCGATGAAGATTTTTACAGCAACCGAGGTTATAAAAAGGTGCGCAATGGGTGTACTTGCATGTTTAACATTATCACTTTTCAGCGCACGATGGTTTCGACGATAAATATGACGGTCACAATTTCAGTAAGGTCCATATTAATGTTGTTAATGTGTGCTAAGCTAATTTGTTGTAGATCCCCCGAACTACGGAGAACAAACTCGTGGTAAGTTGAGGAGCTCCAGTTCTCTATGTTTTCTGTCTTTGTTTTTGTTTTATATATTACACGCTTTTTTGTTTTTCAATAGTCACCATTTGTAGTTTTCATTTGTTTTCTATGAAAAAAAAAATGGGCTAGGTGGCTATATGACCTTATTTACTTAAATATGTTTATATTAATCGATGTACATATATTTGCACATGTATAAGTGAACTTTGTCCATTCTTTCTTTCTTTTTGACTTGATTCTGTCACTCTTCTTCTTCTAAAGTAGTTTTGTAACCTCGTTATGCCATGTTTTTCTGGGTGTGCTTCTTTGTATCTTTCTTTGCCATACTTGTTTTAGGGGTCTATCGTTTCTCATTCTTTGCAGATTACTTCCTGTATGCTTCTCAGACACTTTCATTTGGTATCTACTGGATTCTGTTGATTCCCTTAATTTTTTGTACGTATTTCATCACTAGTTTAATAATACCCAGATTTCACTTCCATATCTTAGTATTGACCTATTTTCTATTTAGTTACATTTTGTAATCATGCTCTATTTTCTTCTCCCATGTTTCCCCATATCTATCCATAGTCCTAGATACTTAAATGTTTCTGTTTGTTCTAGACGTCTTGGTTTACTTCCTGTCTATTTTCTTAACTTGCGTTATCTGTAGGGCAATCAATAGATTGAAACTGTAATATTTTATGTTGTTGTTGTGTTTATGCTCGGCAGCCGAAGGCGAACTCGGCCCGCTCGCCTGGCTCACAATTACGCCAAATAAAACAATGATATACATGCTATGTGTAAAGGCAAATGGCCACTAAACCGAGCATCAAACCAAAATTATTGCGTCTTTGAATAAATTAAACACTTCTTATCTTGAAACTAATTAGCTTTGCAGCGATAAGAAAACTTCTTATTTACCGGCGGAGAAAAAAATTATTAAAGGACAATTCTCCATTTTTGCTGGGGGGGTTCTCATTAAAAATACGCTAGAATGTAGTGCAATATGCGTATGAGCATTTCGTGTTCAACACCCCCTTTCTGCTTCAGTCAATCATGCTTTTCTAAAACTTACCGGGTGGGTACTAAGGGGCAGTATATATTTTGGGGAATAACATACAACTGGGAGGTCTGGAGGGTATGGAATACCCCCCAGCAAAAAAGGAAAATCACCTAATAATAAAATTTCCCTGTACTGGGTGGTATTCCATACAACTGGGGGGTATTATACCGAACACTCCCCTTCTGCCACCTTCATTTGCGTTTTGCAAAACACTGTAGGGGAAGTAATACTGATTTTGGGTAAAAACATGCAACGGGTATCAATACCCCCAGGCCAGGATAAAGGAAATTTACCCTATACTGGGGGGTAAATGAAATGTTCTTGAGGAGTCGGGGGTATTATACCCAACACTCCCCTTCTGCCACCTTAAATTGCGCTTTTCCAAAGCACTGTAGGGTTAGTAGTAAGGGACAGTAATAGTTTTTTTGTGGCAATGGGGGAGGGGGGGGGGATAAAACTCGCAAACACAAAAGGAAAATTCCCTTATAATGCAATTGTCATTCCATACTCTCCAGACTTCCCGTGCAGTAAGTACGTTAACCTGTGAGGGCCGAATACACCCCAGAAATACAGGAAAATTTCTTAATTTTAAAATTTTACCTTACTGGGGGGTATTGGCCAAGCGTGCAATTTAAACTTTTAATTTAAAACATGCAAATTTCAAATGCGAACTGTCAAAACTAATAAAAACAAAAGATCCAAACCCGGGCCAGTGCCTACTGGACTATTACTGGACTATTTTTTACACACATGATGGGTTTTCTTTTCTTTTCTTGCCCAATTAAAAAATTTTCTTGTTCTTTCTAAAATATTCCATAAATAGTTTGCCCAAATATGCGAGCAGCTAACGTTAATTATATAAAATTTACCTGAAAGAATTATATCCCCTTTTGTTTACTTATATTTCAACTTTGCCCCCCCCCCTCCTCCCCCGGGCAAACTTAGCAAAACCTCAGTGAGTTTCGCAAACACTCCACTTCCTATCCTCATTATCTCCATTTTGTTTTTTTTTCCGTCTTTTTTTTTAAGCATTCTGTCATCTGCTTTTATTCTTCTTTTGCCACGTTTTTGACATTTGTGCACAACTTATGCTCTTTTCACCTTCACACAATGAATTTTAGCTCCAATTTCCATGAAGAAAAACCAGCTGATACGTTTCTCAGGTACTTGAATTGCTTATTCTTTTTTTTCAGAGACTGGCGTGCTTGAAAACATAGATAAGTTCTTCTACCTCATGGTCGGTAAGTTATTGTGTATCAAAAGCGCAAATGTGATATGATTTTGAAGTTAAACTTGAAATTTTGACTGTTAGTAAGCCTGTAGTCGTGATTCTTTAGTATTGATCTTGAACATTGAACCTTAAGCCTTGAGTGTTGAATGGCGATTTTAAGGATTGAGTGTATTAAGTCTTGACTCACAGCCTTTATCCTTGATATTTGAGTTTTTTTGCCATGAATCTATGTACTGTGGGATACAAGCCTTTAGCATTTAAACTGGAGCCTTGAGTTTCTTCGAGATTTAAATCTTGAGTCTGAAATTTTCAGCCTAGATCATTAATGGCTTAGTGTCGTGTATTGAATCCTGAATTTCGGATCGTAGGCCTTGAATATTGAACCTTTGAATGTGGAATTGTAAACTTTGATATGAAATTTTGACGTTTTGCTTTTAAAGCCTTGAGACTTACTTAAATATTGAGCCTTGATAATTCAATCTTGAGTTTTGACCTTTTGAGCCTCGCAAGCCTGAACTGTCAGCAATTGAGATTTGAGTCTTGGATCTTTCGAATGTTGTGTCTTTGTCTATTGAATCGTCATTCTTCAATATTTGAGTCTTGTATCTTAAATCCAGAATATTTGCTTATAATCCTACAGAATTCTTGATTTTGGGCATCTTTATCGGAGATCGTTAAATCTTTGAACTTTGAGACTACACCCTACCATTAAATCGTGATTTTTCAGCATGGAGCGTTGACTCGCAAGTATTGAATTATGGTTCTTGAGCCTTGATTTTCAAGGTTTGAGGTTTTATTGGCCATTTTTAATTCCTGATCTTGAACTTTGGACCATAAGTTTCGAGAAAGTAAGTGATTATTGGGTCGTGAGCCTTTCTCCTTGATATTTAAATGAATCGCACTTTGAGTTTTAAGCCTTGAGTACTGAGTTTTGAACCGCGAGTCTCAATATATGAATGTTCAGTCAAGAATCTTCAGACCTTTTAGTTTTAAACCCTTTAGAACCTTGTTGTGAGCTTTCAGAATTGAATCATAAGCCTTTATCTTTGAGATATGAGTCTTAAACTTTGAGTTGTGAACCGTTGTTCTTAATATTTAAAGTTTTAAACTTGACACTCTTGATCCCGAGTCTAGAGTTTTGATCCTTGAACTTTGAACCTTAAATTTTGAGAAATTTAAGTTTTGGATTATCTTTGATATTTGAGTGAATCTTTAACTTTGATTCTTAAGCCTTGAGTATTGATCAGCGAGTCTTAACATTTTATTGTTCAGTCTTGGATCTTCAGACCTTTTAAAGCCTTTTGAACCTTGAACGACGAGTTTTAAGCTTTTCGATTTAAATCACGACCCTTTATTCGTATAGAGTTGCGATTTCTGGTACTTAGGATTGATCCTTGACTCTCAAGGTATTATGATTTTTCAGTCTTTAAGTTTCCAAAGGCTCGAGCTTTTTCTCAAATTTTGATGTTGGAAGCCTGCCTGGAGCTTTGAACGTGGATCGTTGATCCTTCAGTGTTATGAATGCAATTTTGTATCTTGAGCCTTGAATACTGAATCGTGATTCTCATCAGGCCTAGAGTGTTAAACATTGAGTTATGAGCCTTAGTCAGAGCTGGGCAGAATACTTTCAAAAAGTATTTGAATCTCGATTTGAATACTAAATACTTTTACGTCCAGCACAAGCGAATACTAGATACAGATACATTGAAAAGTATTCAAATACTTTAGAATGTATTCGAATACTTTGAAAAGTATTCGAGTTTGAAGATTGGGCTACTAGATCAAAAGTTACAGCCCTTTGAATTTTCTTTCGAAATTGGTTTCTAGGCTGTAACTTTTGATTGAGAAGTCTGATCGAAAAAGTACGAATTGATTTGGATTCTACGCACCCAAGTTAATAAGAAAAAGTGTTTTCCCGAGAAATTTTGGTGCAGTTGATTTTTGGTAAAAAAGGAAGGTATGCACTGCCTTTTTTTGAGCTCCGAAAAAAAATTGTCTCAGATCGATCTGGAAAAAAATTTTCTTATAGAATGTGGCCTGTAGAATCCATAATTTTATACAGTTCCAAGATTGTGCTACTAGTTCAAAAGTTACAGCCCTTTGAATTTTTTTTCGAAATTGGTTTCTAGGCTGTAACTTTTGATTGAGAAGTCTGATCGAAAAAGTGCGAATTGTTTTGGATTCTACGCACCAAAATTAATAAGAAAAAGTGTTTTCCCGAGAAATTTTGGTTTAGTCGATTTTTGGCAAAAAAAAAAGGAAGGTTATACACTGCCTTTTTTTGAGTCCCGAAGAAAAAATTGTCTCAGATCGACCAGGAAAAAAATTTTTCTAATAGAATGTGGCCTGTAGAATCCATAATTTCAAACAGTTCCAAGATTGGGCTACTACTTCAAAAGTTACAGCCCTTTGAATTTTCTTTCGAAATTGGTTTCTAGTCTATAACCTTTGATTGAGAAGTCTGATCGAAAAAGTACGAATTGTTTTGAATTCTATGCACCAAAATTAATAAGAAAAAGTGTTTTCCCGAGAAATTTTGGTTTAGTCGATTTTTGGTAAAAAAGGAAGGTTATACAGTGCCTTTTTTTGAGGCCTAAGCCTTAGTATTAATCCGTGGTTTTTCAGTCTTAAGCCTTCATTCTCAAGTTTTGAGGGTTTTAACTATTGACACTCTTGACCCTTGATCTTTAATTCCTCAGCAGAGTATCGGCCCTTGAACTTTGGACGTTAACTTTAGAGAAATTTGAAGAGTTAATGGGCCTTTGTTCTGTCACCATTGCTGAGAGCCTTGAAGACTGAGATTTGAACTTTGAGTCTGTATTTTGTGCTTTAAGTATTGACTCGTGATTCTTCAGCTTCGGGCGTGTTAATTCTAAATTAATCTTGAACGAATGACCCAATGGCAGAACGTGATATGGGCTACGAGAGACAAAATCATATCACTTGACTCGTCCGCCATATTGTTTGTTGTATTTTTTAAAGGTGGCGTCTTCGTATGTATCGTACTAGTAATCATCTTCAAATGCTGTAGTAAAGAGAATTACGCCAGTACCTCAACTGCCGATGGTAGGAGGCGTAGTTTTTACTACCAGAGGTCGCTGTCCACCGTGAACGGCTTTGACAGTCGGCCTACTTGCTTAATGACAGATGTCGCGGCATTCAACGGCGTGACACAATTGGACCTTCCACCGTCGTACGACGCCGCTTCGACGGACAACTCGCGATACAATTCCACTCAGGACCTTCGCGATTCTGACGCCGTCTGCAGTGCGCCCGATGACGCGGCGCCTCCCAGTTACTCTGACGTGTGTGGAACCGCTGACACATCCGCTTCAGGTGGATGTGATAATAACGAGGATTAATGCCGCCTACCCGTTCGCTTATGTACAAACGTTCTGTGATAATCCTTTCTTACAATGTATTTCTGAACCATTTATAAGACAATTGTACTAGTAAATAATGAATCAAGTTGTTTGGACTTTAACCTGTGACCAAAATTAAACAAGAATTTGTCCTTTAATAATAAAAGCGCGCGCGCCTTATATAAACAAAAACAACGCTGTTGCGATTTAGTTTGGTTCAGTGTAAAAGGATGGTAAGTAGTTTACCCTTGTCGCTGTTGTCATGGATAATCACTTGCATATTTCACGTCAATCGAAAAAATGAACTTTGTCACCCCGTACGTAAATTTTTATCAGTTCCACAATAACAAGTTGATAGCCGCCGGTTTTTAATCGACTCTCGTAAAGTATATTGCGATAGTTATTGATTTATCATTCGTAGTAGTTTCCCACATATCAACAATTATCGAAATCCCTTTCGGAAATTTCTGAAATTTTGCGCGGTACGCATGCGCAGTGCGTCGTTGTTATAGAAACGGCGTTGCCTAATTTACTGATTAGATTATTTGAAACATGGCACAATTGCCGTTTATATAAGTGAAGAGATTATTTTGTGCAGCACATTCGGTCATCTTTATGCGATTACGTTAAAAGATGTCGTACGATAATTTACCGCTCGTCACGAAAATGCTTACGGCAGGCGTGTCCGCGTCGTTCGCCGATTTCATGACGTTTCCCTTGGACACCGCCAAGGTGCGACTGCAGGTGAGTCCGACTCTGTGTTTAAACCGTCGGGGGCTGAATAACGCGTTTCGCAGATACAAGGAGAGGCGAAGGCGGTCTTACAAAATGGATCGGTTTCAGTATTACGCACCCAGCAGCAGGGGCTTCTTTCGATAATCGTCGGGATGGTTCGGACTGAGGGTAGCAGGTAAACTTCCACCGTTTTTAATATCGATGCACTCATTTTTCCCGCAGGAGCCTGTACAAGGGACTTTCGGCCGGGCTACAACGACAGATGTGCTTCGCGTCAGTTCGAATTGGTTTCTATGACAACTTCAAACAGTTCTACACGCGGTTGTTTAGCGGTACGTACGCTGATTGGTCGTCAGACCGGTTGTAAGTTTGCGCATGGCAACACTGTTAAAGTCAAACTTACACGTCCACTGTTGCCACACTTTCCATTATTGTATACAACTGTCGATTTTAGGCGAGAATGCAACCGGTTTAAACGTAGGCGCTCGAATCGCAGCCGGCCTGACCACCGGTGGACTCGCCGTGTGCATGGCCCAGCCGACGGACGTGGTTAAAGTGCGCATGCAGGCCGCGAAGAAGGTGCGCTACACGTCGACGCTCCAAGCCTACCGGCAGATAGGTAAAAATGAGGGCGTCCGGGGTCTATGGAAGGGTACGTTGCCGAATATCGGTCGCAATGCGATCGTGAACGTCTCCGAGATCGTCTGCTACGACCTCATCAAGGACACGATCATCTACTACGGCCTGATGAAAGATGGCGTCCCTCTACATTTAACCTCCGGGCTCGTGGCAGGTTTTTGTACGACTGTCGTCGCCTCCCCCATCGACGTCGTCAAGACGCGCTACATGAACTCGCCGAGCGGTCAGTACAGTAGCGCCGTCGATTGCGCGATACGAATGGGAATGCAGGAGGGCGCAAAGGCATTTTACAAGGGGTACGTTTTCGGGCAATTCGGCGCGGCGATTAATTCTTCGAATTTCAGATTCGTTCCGTCGTTTTGCCGACTGGTCAGTTGGAACGTGGTGATGTGGGTCACGTATGAACAGGCGAAGATTTTTGCCGGCAAACACTTTTAGTCACTTATAATAAGTTATTGTTTCCTATTTATATATTTAATTAAACATTTTATTGTTAACGCAGGATGTTATATGGACGTATGTACATAAAACGTCCACACCACATTATGAATAAGGGTCACTTCTTCACCAGTTATGCCATAGTAGTTGCTCTCTAAAATCATACTTCAGTATTTGACCATGCACCAGGTGGACATGAAATCGGTATGGTGTACTGTCTTCTGAATTAGTTTGTATCCATATCACGAGTTGCGCATTTAACAGCGTAGGCCCTAAAAGGGATCCCTGGGGCACCCCGCTTTAAATCGACCACTGTAGATCTTCTAATCAAGACTTACCCATATGAAATATATAGTGTAGCGAATATTCTAGAAATCCCGATAGTCATCGGTGATAAGAAACCAGAACGGATGTGACGCATTCTTTCCGGGAAATATGACGTGTTTGTTCGAGAAGATTCGGGAGTGTTCGAGAACTTTCGAGAAAGATGGGCGTTTGCTATATAAGCAAATTAAATTGTGCTTCAGGGAGTTCTAACAGCGTTGCCGAAGTGTTATGTTATAAATTGTGAGTGAGATTTACTGTTATAAATTAATTAATTGTAAATAAATAAATCGCGTAATTAAATTTACATTCGCAATAGACTCCGCTCTGCACTATCTTAGGTTGACTTATTTTTAAGGGTTCCACTCCAGCGGCAGAACTTCCAAGGGGGGTCTCGCACCACATCTGCGACGAAAGTGAGTTCTCTTGGAAAAGGGCTTCACTGGAGCAGCGGGACCTAGTTCTGTTGAAACGGAGGGGGGCTCAATCCCTCGCTATTGATTTCCAAGGCGTAAGAGGTCAGGTGGAGGACTCTCTTTATTGTAAGAGAGACCGCCAACTGAACCATACGATTTATGTCGATAGACGAATCGAGTCTTATCTAATGACTGATATCTGTTTCAGGGATTTCGTAGCTCTAAGACTTCTGCTGAAACGTGACATATGGGGACAGCGAGCAGGTACCTACTTGAGTTCTGAACCTGGTTGCGAAGGAAAGGGGGTAGGCACAATGGGTCTTAGGTGGGCCTAAGTGCTGCTGAATAGAATAGAAAGCATGAACTATTGCAAACAAATCCGCCATTTTGTTTAATTACTCCACGGGGGTGCGAGTAACAGTTTGCAATCAGTACGAGTGACGGTGCGCCACTTACAACCCCACAATCTTCTCAATATCCCATCGAGATTGAGCACAAGATTGTGTTTTGTATTTTGTGTAGCGAATTTTCTAGAGCGATATCAGAGCGCCGTCAAGTTGAGGTATTAGTCACCAGCGATAAGAAAAAAAGCGGATGTGACACGTTCTTTCCAGGAAGTATGACTCTCGAAGCTTTTCGTTTGCTATATAAGCAAAATGAATTATGTTTAATGGAAGTTGCAATATCGATGCCGAAGTGATAAATTGTGAAACTGGCGCTCGTGTCGTAAATTTCAGTACAAGTGATAAATGATAAGTAACTCATGGTGAAACGCGAGTTAGTGCCAATGCGTCCGCTAGTCCGGTGTGTACAGTTCGGTTTAACCCCTTCGCAGACCTACCTACCCTGTATGCAAGAAATTCTCAGATTCTGGATAAGTGCTACTTTCTCAAAACTCGAACATCGAAAAGGCCGCGATCACAACCCCTTTTGGGCCATCATCTGAGTTCCCGATGATGACGTTTGGATCCAGGAATGCGACGCAAACTTTCCAATGCTTTATCAATCAAGATTCTCAAGGATCCACCATTTGCTTATCTCGACGACGTCCTAGTAGCCTTGTCTGATATATGGAGCCACTCACAGGGCTCAAGTGGAGGAAGTACTCCAACGATTTGAACAACACGACCTCACAATTAACGTGGCTAAATGTGAGTGTGGTGTTTTTGGCAATGTACATCTCAAGCGAAGGTGCGACACCCGAATATTCTTTGCATATCTTGCATCAGGAGAATATAATGTGCGAGGCATTCATGTTCTTAATACACGGCATATCGTTTAACAAACGAAATGAAAAATACCATTCCGAAATACATTGTTAATTAGCCGGACGTTCTCCAGTCCAGAAGGTATCTAAGGTCCTGGATACGGTAACCTTAAACTAAAGCTGTATTTTACAATGAATGAAGTACTACTTTTATACCTAAAAACAGTGACACTGTTGTAAAATGACAGCATTGTATTTAAGTTAATGGTTAGAGAAGGACGGCTAATGTATTTCCAGCAGTGACTCTATATTGACCAACGGGACTATGCTTGCGCTTGAATCTTGATATACACTACACAATATCGTACTAAATGGAATTTTTTCTGTGGCGACATCTATCTAAACGAAGTTTGGCAGATGAGATCTGTAAACTGTATATGTCATTTTTTTAAATTATAAGTGCATAATTGACGACCTATAATAAAAACGATTTTTAATTCATAATAAGTGTCTAACGAACTATTTGAAAGACAATTTTGTATTGTAATTGATACGTGATTGTGACAAAACGTATATTCCCCGTACATCCAGAATGTTCAATACCGAAAATAAGGAAAATATTAATAGCCTGTTCACAGTATATTCTTTTCTGAATATCCTTGGAATACATGCGAGACGAACGTATATATTCATAGAAAATTCTACGGATCTAGCAAGTCCAATAATATCCAATGTTATCTGGATATATTTTGAAATTACCGTACTTAAAGGCGAGGCCGAGTTCATGAATCTTTCTAAAACGTTGCCAGGTTAATTTTATTTCCGTGTTGTTACAGTGTGAAGTTGGCGCGGGGTTAGCAGAGTAGATGATGGTGGTTACTGCGGACGATGTGCAGAAGAACCGTAGCGGATAATGGGAAGATTATATAATGACTTTATATCTATGATCTGAATTTCCATAGAAATGATTTGTGTCAGTTCTACAAAGATATTGATATATAAAGGTACATTCATTACTTATTTTGAGGTTGTGGGTGACCTGTCTAGTTATCGCTTTGATGTAAGATACGCCACTGGAGTACGTGACCGCCATCTATTATCCAATGTGATCAACGTATGTAACAAATTATGAGGTTAAGTATTTAAAAAACGTAAACAGACTTGGAATTTCTTTAAAAATGAGTAAAAGGAAGAATCCTTCCGACGAAAGCAACCCAAATCACGAATTTTGCGAATTTTTATCAGGTAATTGCCTTGTAACCGCGAATTGTCTAAAATCAGCCTCTTGCAGAGCTTGCCGAATACGAGAAGAACGTCAACCGGAACATTTACAAGTACAGTGCCTATCGGAAAGCCGCCAGTGCCCTTTCGTCACATCCAATACGAATAACATCAGGAAAAGAGGCCCGAGCCTTACACGGTGTCGGTGATAAAATCGCGAAGAAAATCGACGAGTTCCTACAAACTGGAAAATTGCAAAAATTAGAGAATGTAAATAAGCCACAATAGTACGCCCCCCCCCACGAACTTATAAATTAAGATGGACCGCTGATCAAACAGTTGCATAGAGGTAAAAACGGCCTAAAGTCACTAAATATAGAAAGTACCGCAATCCATTGGGCTCGTGTGTTAGAGAGAGAACGCATTTTTATAAAACATGACAGTACTATGAAGTTAAGTTATAAAAAATTGCAGCTATTCAGATTTTATTTGTCAATTTTTTTAAGTTGGCAGTAAATTTGCCCAAAAATGGCGGATGATTGCGGTACTTTCTATATTTAATGACTTTAAAATGGCCCTAGCATGGGCGCCACCATGATGTGCACATTTTAGTTATTTTCTAGGGGAATTTTCCTAGTGCTCAAGTTTTGAGACTATTGCGGCCTTGGAAAATGACATGTGTCACAGTAATTTATTTAGAAAACGTGAGGTTAATGTTGGGTTAATGCTTGTTAATTAGTTGATTTGAATTTCGCGCCAAATGAGTGCACATCATGGCGGCCCCCAAGGATGCTATATATATATATATATATATATATATATATAATATAGCATCCTTGAGCGGCCCCCATGTAGGTGTCATTTGTTAATTCAGCATTAGCAGTCCATCTTAATTTATAAGTTCGTGCCCCCCCCCCCCCCACCCTTAACGTATTTTTCCTAGATCCATAATGACGCCTCGAGTGTAGCCATCAATCTACTAACTCGCGTCTCCGGAATCGGGCCGGCCAAAGCGAGACAGCTGGTCGACGACGGCATAGCGACCCTAGATGACCTAAAGAAGAACGTCGATAAACTGAACCACCACCAGACGATCGGACTGAAACACTTCGAGGACTTCGAGAGGAAAATTCCCCGTTCCGAAATTGAATCGATCGAGAAGATTTTACGAGAGGAAATTTGCAAGTCGGACGCCGAGTATAAGATAACAATTTGCGGAAGTTACAGGTGCGCGCCGACTCGGGCTCGTTAGATGTGTAAAGATCGCAATTGCAGACGCGGTAAGTCGGAGAGCGGCGACATTGATACGTTGATTACGCATCCGTCGTTTACGAGTAAAAGTTCTAAAAGCGATCTGCTAGAGGGCGTCGTGCGAACGCTGGAGAAGTGCGGGCTGATTACCGAACGGCTTTCTCTCGGGAACACTAAATTTATGGTAAGTTGAGTTGCCGACGGAAGCGCGATAGAGAGAGAGCTTGCCTCTAACATTATACCATAATAATACTTTTAGTATAAAAACAGTCACGTCAATCATCGCAGGTACCCGTCCACTGTAAAACTGGTCGCCTGTGACATAAGCGTTGCAGTGGGCGGCGACCTGCGACTGTTTTTATACTAGACAACCTAATGAAGTATGATGGCGTCTTAGTTTTCCCCTCTCTCTCACCTGCAGTATCCGCTCTTAGCACGTTGACGTGCGCTTTCGTGACAGGTTGAAACATGTTTTAGGGCGCATGCAAACTCGAAAACCTTCCGACGAGACGTCTCGACATTCGTCTGACTCCGTGCGATCAGTACTACTGCAGCGTGCTTTACTTTACCGGCTCCGACATGTTTAATAAGGACATGCGGGCGCACGCGCTCGAGGCCGGATTTACGTTGAACGAGTACACGCTGCGACCGGTTGGTACGACCGGTGTTCCGGGGGAGCCTCTGGAGATTAATTCCGAGGAGGACATTTTCGATTTCATCGGGTATCCGTATAAGACGCCAGACGAACGCAGTAAATAATGCGGAGTCTTTTCGGGAAAAATTGTCTTTCTTTTTCTATGTATTATACTTTTAGTGTTAGAGGGAAATAAAAACAAAGCGGCCGTCTTTAAAGTCTCAGTTAAGTTTTCAGATTCTAGAAGAATCATATAATAAAAGTCAAGGTACATGGTGTGACTCATCCTGTCTTTGTGAAAACTGCATAAATTCACGGAAGGGTTACTGTTAGCATAACCAGGCACCTGGGATGGGTATCTGGACCCTTGTTCGGAAAATATTGCGGACATTTCAGACATTCCTGATAATCACGGAGCAGAAGGCAAAGGTGCTAGCAAAATCAAAGAAATAGCAGTTGTCCTTTCAGGGGAGGAGACTCATAGAAATGAGGGAAATCTAATGGAACTAGTACTGTGCTAAAAGTTTGAATGGTAGAGCAACAGTGGAACTTCGCCTATAGATTAGTTTACTTTTACATATGTGTAAATAAAGATATTGTTATTAAAATTTGTTTATATATTCAAGAATAATCATTTTTAGAACGATTCATGAACTCGGTCTCGCCTTTCAGTGCGCTAAACATGATGCGCAAATTTTTCAGTGCAATTATGTAATTAATGCGCAATTAAATACGAATAGCAGTGCTTGCCATAATATACTAATAGACGCTTATGTAATTGTTGTTATTCCCGAAATTGTTTTTTTTTACATAGCTTTGAGGTTATATTTACCTTGTTTGGTATTATGTGGTCCGGTTAATTAGTTGCACATTTTTTAATTCTTAAAAAAATGCGCTAAAAATAGTAGGTAAGTAAAGTTCAGGATCTCTTTAATTATGTATCGTTTTAGGCGTTCCCGAACTTTCGCGCGACCGAGTAAATTTGTTTCGGATTATCATTGGCCTATATGATGTCGTTGCAGTGCGTTTGTATTATGATCATAAAGTACAATCGGTGCAATCGCCTTAGAAATGCATTATCCAAACATGCGCAAAACGCAACTTATTTATGGAGCAATTTAGTCGAAATTTGTATGGTAATCCCTTTAACATAAAAGCAAACAAAATGCATGCGCCAGAAATCGTACTTTGCCTGCGCAATACGTAACTCGTATTTATGGAGCAAATTGAACGAACTTTTTATGGTAGATTGTACGACAGTTTACTCATTTCAAGAATATGCGAATATTTGCATGGCACATACAGGGGCCATGTTTTAAGCAGAAGTAGAACGTTACCATCAGAAATCGTTTTTAAGTTAGGAAATTAAAAGATCTTCGACGATGTGTTACTTTGACGGGCGTGCGTTATATTTACAGTGCTAAATATTTTAAAATATTCCAGTTTAACAATGTGCTTTAAAGAACTAATAGGGCGAGGCGAGGCGGCGAAGCCGCCGGAGCCGAGCGTATGTCTTATGAAAATCTAATAAAAAATTAGTGAGTGCAGATGTTTGCCAGGGATTTGATGTTCCTATTACCTACAAATCGCATTGAATTTTATTTATTTACTTATTATTATATAGGCAATATTACCAAAAAAACGAAGATACCTCTTATAAATTTGAAAACTTAGAATTTCCCATATAATTTGTAATGTTCCTAGGGGTCTATCAAGCCGACACTGAAATCGTTGACTTACCCTATACTTACCGTAACTCTGGCAAAAAATCTACAAGCAGAGCCACCTACCTTTCAAGTCGAAACGAGGGACGTTTCGCGGCACTTTTGAATTTGGATGGCAGTCGGCTCGATATGGGTGGCGCGAATGGACTCCTACGTTGTGTAATCTGTTCTTTTATGGGACGTGAGACATAATCGGGAAGGGAATTAAATAAAAGACAGAATTTTTTTGCGTAAGAAAGGACAAGAACAAATAAATATATTAACGCACACAACAAGACCATGTCAGGGAAACCTTCTACGGGACGAAAACCCTGGCATAGGCGACACAAATACATGAAATAAATCACGTACAGCAATAAAATGCAAGAGAAAAAAAATAAAACATCTCAAATTGTGTGAGAAAAATCAGATAATTAAATCAAATGCAATTAAACAAGTTCATAAAAACAAAATACACAAGACATCATAAATGCAGTGGAAAACATGATAAATCAATTCAGTACAAAATACCTGCACGATCAATTGAGATAACACAACTCGTCAAATAATAAATGGCATATGTACATAGGAAACATGTAAATGGTGTGGCTCAACTCCTTAACTCCTACTTAACATAATTTAATTTAACACGAAAAGTATACGTGAGAATGCCAATGGCCAATGGTAAGCACTTATGTGAAAATCGATTATCACTCAAGCAGAACATATTTTAAATAGAGGAAATGTTAATGAGAGGGCCCCCACTCGCATTGCTAAGATGCTAAGAACTGCAATCCGCATGAGACGAGTAGGCAACAGATACAGCGAACGATCAAACTGTATTAGAGGTACTTCCCTCACGGAATAGTTACGGGTCAATCGAACAGAGCAACATCGTGCTGATAATCAATTCCTCGTAAATACAGAAGTAACTACTTAATTAAACAAAATAATGGCATAATCATCGGTACAGTATAACAAACACGATTCATCTAACGGTACTCAAAACAAAGGCATGGAGTACGCCATGATTCAGATATCGTAGTTTATGCAAAATCAGCAAAATGTGACAAGAAATTCAATGATTAATGGTAAGTACAAGAAAGAATAAAATGGTTACTATCTGTAATTACATCTTTAAAACACCACCACCAAAATAATCAAGAATAAAAAAAACCGGGAACGCGTGATGCCTTCCGTCGACCTCGTCGCCATCTTCTTCATTCTCCCCTAGCTTCGTTACGAAAATCCCCTAGTGTTCGGCATCTGCGCAAAACGGTCGATTGGTTATATACAGAGCATATCATATTTTTGTTTCGGATGTAGAGGTGTGTGACCTAACCATAAGGGTGGATTATCACAAATTATAGCTTTACTACGAGATGAAGTCGGTGCAAAAGTTTGGTGAACATTTGAGATCCCTAATTGACGTTTTTGGTGCCTCAAACGTTGACATTAGCTAATAAAATCGCGTTAATTTTTAAATAATCGCAAATTGAATGTAATTTGACGCAAATAGTCCATCATAAAATATCGAACACGATTATGTGCAGATACGGAGACGACGATTTGTATCAAAATTTTCAAAAAAATACACTATCATATATATATATATATATATATATATATATATATATATATCGCGTCGATATTTGAGATCTGATCGAAAAAGTACGATTTGTTTTGGATTCTACGCACCAAAATTAGTGAGAAAAAGTGTTTTCCCGAGAAATTTTGGAGCAGTCGATTTTTGGTAAAAAGGAAGGTAATACACTGCCTTTTTTGAGGCCGTAGAAAAAAATTGTCTGAGATCGACCGGGAAAAAACATTTTCTTATAGAGTTTGGCACGTAGAATCCATAATTTCAAACAGTTCCAAGATTGGACTACTAGATCACAAATTACAGCCCTTTGAACTTTATATATATAATATGGAACACTTAATTTTGCGAACCTATGATTATAAAGACTTTTTGGCTTCTTTTCATCAGCACTATATGTGGACAAGATTTAAACACGCTGTAGATTAAGCTGTAAATGCCCTAGGCGCGGAACCGCTTTGAGTAACATATTTGGGGGTATCATTTTTCCACGTGCGACAGAACACGTCACGGTAAACGATCTCGGATTGCTATGCCTCGCCGACTTGCATTTGTTTATAATCGCAACAGGAAGTGCACATCGATCCATCCGCAAGGTCATGTCTTTGCCAACGTCGTTCATTGAACCCAAGTGCGCCACTAGACATAATAGTTTTATTACAAAAAAAAAAAACATAAATAAAATTCCAGTTTATAAATACTTAGATCTAAAAGCAGGCACACTTAAATAACCATAATTCACAATAAATAGGTTAGTGATATCACAAAATCAGGACGAGTTCGACTTCTTATAAAGGAGGGAAGCTCGCCCACAATGGCACAGTCGATATTACTTTGAGATCGCTCAGAGCGAAGGGAGGAGGATTTGGGAGAGCTTGTGGTGCTTTAGGTCTTCGTCTTGGGGCGCCTTGCGGTACGTGTCGTCCACGGGCGTTCCGTCGAGGCGTACGCGCACCACCATGGGTCCGGACAGTGGGGTGTTCGGGCTGAAGTTGTCTATGTCGTCGTTGAGGGCGGTGGAGTGGAGGATGTCCTCGAAGGGCAGCGCGTTTTTCGCGGGCTGTCTGATTTTGTATTCGGGCGTTCCCGTTTTGATGACGTACTGCGATTTGGGCGTCTCGTACTTGAAATCGGCGGGCGGCGGGACGCGCACGACGTTGTCTATTTTAGCGGACGCCAGTCCCTGACTTCCCAGCTCGTCGCCGAAGGAGAGGTCGAGATTGTTCTCGAAGTTCGGCGCGGCGGTCGTCGTCTGAACTTTCGGCTTGTTTGCGCGATGACCTTCCATGATTGAATTCCAAACTGTAATCAATTATGATGTTAATTACCGTGACCCAGATAGCCGGTCGAAGGCTACTCACTTATACTACTGGCGCCTCTTTGGTACGGATCCATAGTGTCCAGACTATCCTCGGGCATCGATTTCAGTTTGGCCAACCCGTATTTCAGCAGGTCCTGACTACAATCTGCCGCTTCCGAAAATTCGCAGAATTCCTCCACTTGATACGCAAACATCGAGTAGAGATAGGACAACTGTTAAAATCGGGAAATTAGGGACGCCCTCGATTTTCAGTTCCGCAATTGCTTACCTTTTCTGCCTTGCTGAGTAACTCCCACATCGGTATCGCCGATGCCGATACGTAACTAGCACTAGCACTTAAAATTAGCAACAACGAGAACATACTTGAACCGTTCATTTTTTCGCGTTTAGTACAACTTGCACAAGCAACAGTAATCTAATGTTCGACTCTCGTGTTTTCATAAGCTTTATACGAGATTTCTACTGACGTCACGATCCGCATTCCATCGCTCGCTGATTTTGGGGAATCCGCGATTCATCTCTTCTTACGTCTATGATCTTTTCGATTAATTTATTATTTTATGGGACTGCCGACTTTTTTCGACGAATTCCTCCAGAGTCTTTTGGACCCCAATCGGCGATGACTCACGCGGACCGATTCCAAGTTCCTGTAACGCTCGACTTTTTTTTGGGTAAAAGTCGCACGTGTACCACACGACTTTACCTTATATGGCATGAATTCGTAAACAAATTCGAAATGTCACCGGCCAAACATCAACATTAGTATAAACTTTTAAAAGATGCAACAATTTCAAGTTTTTTTTTATTAGAAGCATTAATATTTATTAGCATGTTGTTTTTAATATACAAAAAATATGTTCATAACTTTTATTTTTTTGTGACTTTAGTGACGCGCGTATAGTAAGCGAGCTGGGGCCGCACAAAAAAAAAACATTTGTTTCAGGCACATTCCTTCGTAATAACATTGGAAGGTCGCGACACGGCCTTCTTGAGAATCCGCCGATAATTTATGATTATACACGGAAATTCGTAAAAATATTATTGTCCCCGCGACGGCGCCGACACCCGGATTACATTGGCGACACGACGAAATTCCTACCGGAACGGAACTGTCAACGAAAACAGGAAGAATTTTCGACGAGGAGAAAGTGCGAAAGAGAGTTAACGGTACCCCGAATCAGGTGCAATGAACCTGGAGGCCTTAATTCATTACGAAGCTACGACGAAGAAAATTAACCTTCTCAATGTTAGCGCGATTTCGCGCCATTTTGTTACGGTTAATTGTTTCACGTTCTCGCGTAGGTATAGACCGCGAAAAAATGATGTTTTGTTAAACAGGCCTTGATCTACGACTTTGTTTTCGCGAATTTTTTTTCCCCAAACGCGACTGAAATTTATTAGGACGTGTTTTGTTTACATCACCGGCACGCCGATTCCGTCCTCTTTTTAATGTCACGAATGAATTTCCAAGCGCCATTGTCGTCCGTACCGGCTCGAATCGTATATCACGATTTTAATGGGAAACCCAGCGCCTTGACGCCGTCGTGGTTGGAATCGAAATTTGAATATCAATGCTTTTCTGCGCAGTGTTTTGTTTAGGTTTTAGATTCAATGCCACCTATGATGCTGTTTCGGTTCGACACAGATGTTAATGTACTTGGAGATGACCTTTTGACAATGAATTGAGGGTATCTCATTACGAATTTCAGCTTGGGGTAGTAGATCGATCGAAAGTCTTCTCCCATAAACCACTATCACATCAATAAACATACGTTTATTAATTAAGTTTTAATTATCCTTGTGCCAATTTGTGCTTAAAACTTTGTGCTCATCACATTAATGAGTAGGTAATTTAATTTTTCCTGATGACACTCCAACTTCACACTATAGAGTCTTATTTTCCTCGTAGACGTCCAGCTCCTGTCATAATGAAAAATCTCAATGTTAATAATTTGGGAGACTCAGTAGCCTCGAAGAACTTATTACACACCTGAAATAAATCTTGGGCACGAAACGAAAAACTCTATCCGGGTCGCACAATGGATTTGAATAAACACACTTAATTGATCGACAATGACACAAATTTATTCCGCAATACACGAAATACACAAAATCGCTTATAAAGCTTGTTTGGACGTATTACTCCGCACGCAGGCGGTCGACAATTAAAATAAGAAACCTTAAAATTGCTATTTTTTTCTTAATAATCTAAATAATCTGGTTGTAAAAGGTTTGTTTGGTTCCTTTGCCCCCGGGCACTAAATACTATACCAATGAGCAAGGCGGATTTAGCGGAAAGCTTATCCAGAACTCGCCTTCAGCTCACTAGGTATTGATTTATTAATTGTTTTCCGTAAGGTTCCTTTTTTGCCTACGAACCCGACAAGCCACGTTCTTCTTCTTGCACGAAATGATGTTTTTAATCGAATTTTTGTTTTCTAAGTGCTATAGCAATGAACAAGGCGGCCTTAACCTAAACTTTATGCTAGTATGTATGCCTAATCGAAAAGGACTCAACAGGAGTGCGGCAGTTTCAGGAATTGTAAAGAGCAAGCGGTGGTCGGCTCTGGTGAATGCTAAAACAAACAAGCGCACGCACCAATTTCCCAAAGCAGGAACAGTAAATAGTCGGATTCGGTAGCGGTTTTTACGGGAAATCAAATGCAGGATGCGAGATAATAAGCTTACTTTGCATTTAACGGAGCGGCAGCAGGTACTGGGCAAGATACGATGCGGTAAACTTCATATAGAAGCAAAGATTAAACGCCCTGAATGCAAAAAAATTTATGGAAATGCTCAAAATTACGGTATTTATAAAACGTAGTTTGTAAAGATGCAAAAAGCAGAAAGCAAAAGATCTACAAATTAAGCGTATACCTTATATAAAGTTCGGTTATGTCATGGGAGAGCGACGGTTTTTCCAACCGACACAGCATATTCGGTTATCTACATCTCAAAATTACAACTCCTTTAATTTAGCATCCTTCCCTGACGTCTGAAAAATACGGAACCGGTGTCAAAATTGAAATTTTTTAAGGGCGCGCCCAACGGATGTAATCTCGATTTAATCGGAAGGTGGCTGTAAAAATAATTTAAATATTCCCACGGGAACGGTTGCAAACGGCGGATTAACTGCAGCTAGGGAATGTAATCCCGCAGCAAAATCTCAATCCCGGTATTTGCCGGATTGCTAGATGTTAATCCCGCGGGATCCCGCAAAACTTTAAATAAATTGGCAATCGATCCGGAAAAAAAATGTTCTTATAGAATGTGGCCTGTAGAATCCATAATTTCAAACAGTTCCAAGATTGGGCTACTATTTCAAAAGTTACGGCCCTTTGAATTTTTTTCGAAATTGGTTTCTTATCTATAACTTTTGATTGAGAGGTCCAATCGAAAAAGTACGAATTGTTTTGGATTCTACGCACCGAAATTAATAAGAAAAAGTGTTTTCCCGAGAAATTTTGGTGCAGTCGATTTTTGGTAAAAAAGGAAGGTTATACACTGCCTTTTTTTTGAGCCCCGAAAAAAAAATTGTCTCAGATCGACCCGGAAAAAAAATTTTCTTATAGAATGTGGCCTGTAGAATCCATAATTTCAAACAATTCCAAGATTGGGCTACTAGTTCAAAAGTTACAGCCCTTTGAATTTTCTTTCGAAATTGGTTTCTAGTCTATAACTTTTGATTGAGAAGTCTGATCGAAAAAGTACGAATTGTTTTTGATTCTACGCACCAAAATTAATAAGAAAAAGTGTTTTCCCGAGAAATTTTGGTGCAGTCGATTTTTGGTAAAAAAGGAAGGTTATACACTGCCTTTTTTTGAGCCCCGAAAAAAAATTGTCTCAGATCGACCCAGAAAAAAATGTTCTTATAGAATGTGGCCTGTAGAATCCATAATTTCAAACAGTTCCAAGATTGGGCTACTAGTTCAAAAGTTACAGCCCTTTGAATTTTTTTTCGAAATTGGTTTCTAGTCTATAACTTTTGATTGAGAAGTCTGATCGAAAAAGTACGAATTGTTTTGGATTCTACGCACCAAAATTAATAAGAAAAAGTGTTTTCCCGAGAAATTTTGGTGTAGTCGATTTTTGGTAAAAAAGGAAGGTTATACACTGCCTTTTTTTGAGCCCCGAAAAAAAAATTGTCTCTGATCGACCCGGAAAAAATTTTCTTATAGAATGTGGCCTGTAGAATCCATAATTTCAAACAGTTCCAAGATTGGGCTACTAGTTCAAAAGTTACAGCCCTTTGAATTTTCTTTCGAAATTGGTTTCTAGTCTATAACTTTTGATTGAGAAGTCTGATCGAAAAAGTACGAATTGTTTTGGATTCTACGCACCAAAATTAATAAGAAAAAGTGTTTTCCCGAGAAATTTTGGTGCAGTCGATTTTTGGTAAAAAAGGAAGGTTATACACTGCCTTTTTTTGAGCCCCGAAAAAAAAATTGTCTCAGATCGATCCGGAAAAAAAATTTTTCTTATAGAATGTGGCCTGTAGAATCCATAATTTCAAACAGTTCCAAGATTGGGCTACTAGTTCAAAAATTACAGCCCTTTGAATTTTCTTTCGAAATTGGTTTCTAGTCTATAACTTTTGATTGAGAGGTCCAATCGAAAAAGTACGAATTGTTTTGGATTCTACGCACCAAAATTAATAAGAAAAAGTGTTTTCCCGAGAAATTTTGGTGTAGTCGATTTTTGGTAAAAAAGGAAGGTTATACACTGCCTTTTTTTGAGGCCCGAAAAAAAAATTGTCTCAGATCGACCCGGAAAAAAATTTTCTTATAGAATGTGGCCTGTAGAATCCATAATTTCAAACAGTTCCAAGATTGGGCTACTAGTTCAAAAGTTACAGCCCTTTGAATTTTTTTTCGAAATTGGTTTCTAGTCTATAACTTTTGATTGAGAAGTCTGATCGAAAAAGTACGAATTGATTTGGATTCTACGCACCCAAATTAATAAGAAAAAGTGTTTTCCCGAGAAATTTTGGTGTAGTCGATTTTTTTGGTAAAAAAGGAAGGTTGTACACTGCCTTTTTTTGAGCCCCGAAAAAAAAATTGTCTCAGATCGACCCGGAAAAAAAATTTTCTTATAGAATGTGGCCCGTAGAATCCATAATTTCAAACAGTTCCAAGATTGGGCTACTAGTTCAAAAGTTACAGCCCTTTGAATTTTTTTTCGAAATTGGTTTCTAGTCTATAACTTTTGATTGAGAAGTCTGATCGAAAAAGTACGAATTGTTTTGGATTCTACGCACCAAAATTAATAAGAAAAAGTGTTTTCCCCAGAAATTTTGGTGCAGTCGATTTTTGGTAAAAAAGGAAGGTTATACACTACCTTTTTTTGAGCCCCGAAAAAAAATTGTCTCAGATCGATCCGGAAAAAAAATTTCTTATAGAATGTGACTAGGGAATGCAATCCCGCAGCAAAATCTCAATCCCGGTATTTGCGGGATTGCTAAATGTTAATCCCGCGGGATCCCGGTATTTGCGGGATCCCGCAAAACTTTAAATAAATTGGCAACTAAGCAATTCTGTGCGGTTAACTTCTGCATTAAAATAAGTCGCTAATTATCACAATATTTAACAAAAAAGTACATTCGGCCTAACTTAGAACTCAAAAAAACCTCACCTGTAAAGCACAAAAAGGTGAACTTCTAA